CATTTGCATTATCAAAATTACAAAAAGGTGAGACATATCTCTGTGATAACAGTTCATCCTTTATTACTGTAAATTCAGAAATTATTGCGTGCATTTATTATTGCGATTTTGTCATTTTAGACTTAAATGCGATTTTAATTTTTACGATTTTGAGAAAAATCCTGTTCAGTTCATATAAAATATTTCAAAATGCGAGTTTGAATTATTGCGTTTACAACTCTGTCGCATTTGTCGCAATAATTTCTGAATTTCCAGTACATGTATCTTGAATATTATTATAGATAAAGATAACCTGTAAACAGCAAAACTGTTCAGCAAAGTAAGATCTACAAAAAAGTTAATATGGCCAAAATTGTCAATTGACTCCTAAAAATAGAACATGGGGTAAAATGCAGTTTTTGACTTATATCTTAAAAATTAAAGCATTTAGAGCAAATCAGACAAGAAGTTAAAGTTTCATTAGGTCAAGGTCTACCTGCCCTGAAATTATCAGCCAAATCGGGTATCTAATTTTTAGGTGATTGCCCCTGAATTGATGATTTTAAGGAAATTTTGCAGTTTTCCGTTATTATCTTGAATATTATTATAGATTAAGATAAAATGTAAACAGCAAAAATGTTCAGCAAAGTAAGATCTACTATTAAGTTATGACCAAAATTGTCAATTGACCCCTTATGGATTTATTGCCCTTTAAGGACATTTTTTCACAATTTGTTTATCATGTTTTCTAACTTTAAAAAATCTTCTATGAAACTACTGAATCAAATTAAACCAAACTTAAGCTGAATGATTCTTAGGTTATCTAGAATAAAGTTTGTGATTTATTTTCTGTTTCCTCGGAAAACATGGCCCCATGGCTAAGAATAGAACAAAGGGTAAAATGCAGTTTTTGACTTATATCTCAAAAACTAAAGCATTTAGAACAAATCAGACAAGAAGTTAAAGTATTTGTTAGGTCAAGATCTACCTGCCCTGAAATTATCAGCTAAATCGTGTAACTGATTTTTAGGTTATTGCCCCTGAATTGATGATTTTAAGGAAATTTTGAAGTTTTTGGTTATTATCTTGAATATTATTATAGATAAAGATGAACAGTAAACAGCAAAAATGTTCAGCAAAGTAAGATCTACAAATAAGTTTATATGACCAAAATTGTCAATTGACTCCTTAAGGAGTTATTGTCCTTTAAAGACAGTTTTTCACAATTTTTTCATCTAGTTTGTTTACTTTAAAAAATCTTCTCCTTTGAAACTGCTGAATCAATTTCTGCAAAATTTGGGCTGAATAAATTTCAGAGTATCTAGTATAAATTATGTATTTTATTTCCTTGTACGTCAAGAAACAGCCACTATGGCTAAAATGGAAAATAGGGGTAAAATGCATTTTTTTGCTTTTGAAGAAAATATGAGTCGACAGATACAAAGAACATTTAGATGGCATTTTTAAGCCACTCATTAATATATATTGAAAAGCAAAAATAATCATTGAAAAAAGATTTAAGCAAAAAATTACAGGTGAGCGATTCAGGCTCTTGAGAGCCTCTTGTTTCCTTTTTGTTAGTTGTATTTTTATAGTTTGTGTCAACCTGATGAGTCCAATTTTTTTGGGATATATTTTTTGTCCCTATGGCTATGGATTCACAGCAGATTTGTCAGCTGCTTCATAAATATTAGAATAGGTATAATTGCCCTAATCCAGCAAGCTGATAGGTAATTTACAAATATTTGCTCATTTTTAGCTCACCGGGGCCCGAAGGGCCCTATGTGAGCTTATGCCATCACTTGGCATCCGTCGTCGTCTGTCGTTGTCTGTCGTCTTCTGTTGTCGTAAACTATTTCAAAAATCTTTTCCTCTGAAACTACTGGGCCTAATACCTTCAAACTTTAATTAAATGTTCCTTAGGGTATCTAGTTTATAAATTGTATCTGAAGTTTTGATCCATCGACAAACATGGCCGCCATGGCTAAAAATAGAACATAGGGTGTCAAATGCAGTTTTTGGCTTATATCTCAAAAACTAAAGCTTTTAGAGCAAATCTGACATGGGGTAAAATTGTTCAGTTGGTCAAGATCTATCAGCATTGAAATTTCAGACGAATCAAACAACCCATTGTTGGGTTGCTGCCACCGAATTGGTAGTTTTAACAAAATTTTGCAGTTTTTTGTTATTATTTTGAATATTATTATAGATATATATAAACTGTAAGCAGCAATAATGTTCAGCAAAGTAAGATCTACAAAAAAGTTAAATGACCATAATTGTCAATTGACCTCTTAAGGAGTTATTGCCCTTTAAAGACAATTTTACACAATTTGTTCATCAAGTTTGCTAACATTTAAAAATCTTCTCCTCTGTAAAGCAGGTGAGCGATTCAGGATCTTGAGAGCCTCTTGTTTTAATGCTTTTTCTTCTTAAACATTAATAGAGATACTTCTAGAATGAGATAAAATGATCTTCAAACAACTACTAAATGAAGAAAGCTGTAAAAAGTATAGTGCTGGTTAAAAAAAATAAAAAAAATGCTCATAATGTGAAGCTCTACTTACTATCTACATGATCTATTTGCACCATGCATAATTATCAGATGACTCCTTCAGGAGTTATTGCCTTTAAATGACCACTTTTTTGTTTGCTTATTTTTATGTTTTTGTCTATTATCTGGAATACCATATTAGATAGGTAAATACTGTTTAGGTAAGAATTATCAGCAATGCAAGATCTACAAAAAATCAGAAATGTAAATCAGCATCAGTGATAAGAAATGCAAGATATTTAAATATAAAAAATGCCCAGATAAGGAGTAATTTCCCTTATAAATGATATTTTTTGCAAATTTTTTGTGTCATTCATAAACTCTTTCAAAGATCTTCTCCTCTGTAACCACTGAACCAATTTCAACCAAAATTTGGGTGAATGATCCTCAGGCAAACCTGCATCATTGATTGTTTGAAAAAATGTCAGAGAATCAATGTAGAAGTATTTGGCACAGATTGAAAACAATCACTCTCAAAATAGTTCTTAACAGATTAATAGGATCCCAAAATACCTTTAGTTAGTATTTCACTGAAAGAATTAATTAGAATATTTCATTATCTCTGCAGAAAAGTTTTCCTGATCATGGCCTAAAAAATGCATGATACGCTTAGCAAGTTCAAAACTACAGGTATGCTCGAATCCATGAAAGCAAAAGTACATATCTCATTCTTAGTAATAGTTGCAGATGGTCCTACTGTATAGAGTAAGGTTGACTTATGAGAGTACAGTATATATGACAATATGGTTTTTAATAAATTTTTCAAAAGGGGTGTATGTCATGCTGGTGGGAAGCTAAAACCTAAATTTCTAGTAATAAATAGAAGATGTTTTTCCCAGACTAAAGTATCAATCAGAACAAGCCCAGCTTGATATATAAAATATTTTGAATTCCTTCTGTCATGTCTATTGTAAACAAATGTAAAAAGAAAATAGATTTTGATGTCTATTACTCAACCAATGATGTTGATTTATGTGAAGATATTCCAATCAGTTTGGTTATATTTTAAAACGATGTTTATCATGTATATAGATCATTTAAATCAGCCTAACGATGACCAAAGATATCATTTTTTATTTTCTTGCAAACCAGAACCTCAAAGTATTAAACCTGTTCTTTTTTCCTTTCACTTCTAGATCAGAGTTGCCAAACATTATATAGCCACTTAAACCTCCTTTAACATGTTTAACTACAGCAATTAAGGAATCAGCTTTTGATTTCAGATAGTTTTACCTACAATGACAGCAACTTATAATACATGAAATATTTTTTGTGTCAAAGAATGTTTATTGGTTCATCTTATTTGTACATGTTAAATTAGAAAAATGCATGACATGATTTAAAGCATTCAGCCAGTGTGTTTATCATGTTTATAGATATTTATTATGTTTAAAGTACATGTAGTATATACATTTTTGTAGGAACAATCTCATCTATTAAGTATCAAATCATCTTTTCATTATTCATTACACTATAAATTGTAATTTTAGAATGTATTGTAAACTAAACAGTGGAGTTATCTTTATACTATATGATATAATATCTATAATGGTATGATCTGGCTGTTCAGTGGAATATCCCAGACAGATCCACATGTACAATTAACTACTCTATCTATTGTACATGTAAGTTGTATTGAGATAAATATCTGTCGTGTAGCCTATAAAGGTAGGAAGTGGTTACATTTTTAAAAGTTTGTTTTTTTAACATCTAATGTACATATATGACAAGCTTGTTATAATATAAAGATGATTGAAAAAAAAACTATTAATCTTCTTTTCTGGCACATGTTTTAAAAGTGTGCCTTGTTGTTTTATATAAAAAAAAAATATAGTCCCATAACTGCATCACTTTCCTTGAATTATATACATTAGGTTTACACTGTTTAAAACTTTTGATTTTTTTTTTTGGTGGATTCATATGCATGATATGAGGACGTCCATCCAATATGGAAATGTCAAAAGATATTAAGCCTTGATAAAATGTAGGCTACAGTGACCTTATTTTGTGGAATGATTCTTTACTCCTTTACCTGCATTCTTGCACCAATTGAAATGATTTTAAATTACTGAGAACTGTAGTTTAAACTCTGATGTAAAATTTGGCATTAATTTTTCGTTCATTTTATAAAATTGTTGTTATGAATGTGAAATGTGGCTAACAAATATTTGGGTTTTAGAGTTGCTGATGAAGGTAAATCCAGGTAAGTGCTTTGGCTGCACAAATTTAAAAAAAATGTTATTTAAATACCTGAATGATTTTGATGAAGTTTTGCATTTCTATGAAACCAATGGTAACATATAAATGACATATTACTGCTCTCTTGTTCACATTTATTACCATTACCAACATTGTTTTCATTGTTTTTTTAAAGGCAAAAAACACTTTTAAAAAACATACCTTCTAGTTATTTATCTATAAAAAAAATGCTTATAGCTACTTACATAGAAATTGAATCTCTTTTCAGGTTATGTGCAAGTATTATAAAAGATATAGAGGTTCAATCATTACACCATCAAAATGGCTGCTGCCAACAATGACACAGACAAAGTAATGCAGCTCCATAAGGCTACAGCCTATAACTGGGAAGCTGAAAGAAATAAATACAAAGACATTCAAGATGATGGAACTATGTCTTTTTTCTGGTAAGTTGTTTCAATCATACTTTTAGAAAAAGATCTTAAAACTTTTCCGTGACAGTTTTCTCAGGTAATACAGAACAGAATGACTTGGTCTGCAGTTTGACAGTGATAAGCATGCAAAGCATATAAGTTGTTGTCAGTATTTTCTATGCTATAGGTTTCTTGAAATTTAGAACAACGCTTATTAGCTTCATTAGACAATATACAATACCTTTTGACAAGTTTTCAGGTCCCTCCTGTTATACTTTTTTCGGACATCAACATGTAGCTTTCTGTACTTTCCATCAAATGCAAGAGAACAGTTTAGATATTAGAGGAATATTTAATGTTAAAAGTTTTACTGCCTGCACTTCATCCACTTCATTTTGCTCGTCCCGCTTATTGAATACTTATAGCAAATAGTGACATCTTGTTCTTATTAGTTTTATTTAGCTTGAAATGTGTTTGACCATCTGAAATTTTAGGCAAATTTTGATTTGGTCAAATAACTTTCACTCTGTGCCAGACCAAATGTTTAAAAGATTATCACAGGCCCTCTGACTGAATGTTTAAGACATTGTCTTGGAATTTTGAAATGTATGAGTCTTGCTGTAGTGAAAATTCAACTAAAATTGCACATAGTACAAGATTGCTCTATTGTCTGGCAGCCTTTTTAAGGACTTAAAAAAAGTAGGTCATGAAAAAGACCCTCTGACGTCAGAAAATCTTGGACTAGATTGTGCAGTACTTGTCAGTCATTTACTGAAAGTGCTGTATCTATTGCATTACTTTTTCCTTTACCTAGGGCATTACTTTTCCCTTTACCTAGGGCATTACTTTTTCTTTTTCCTAGGACATTACTTCTTCTTTTACCTAGGGCATTTCTTTTTCCTTTACCTAAGGCATTAATTTTTCCTTTACCTAGGGCATTACTTTTTTTTTTATTTAAGGCATTACTTTTTCCTTTACCTAGGGCATTACTTTTTTCTTTAACTAGGGCATTACTTTTTCCTTTACCTAGGGCATTACTTTTTATATGCCTGTTTACGGGATGTATTATGGTATATCGTTGTCCGTCTACCACATGACGTACAATAACTCAAAAACACTTTAAGCAGTTTTCATGAAACTTTGGTGAATTGTTTATATTTGTTGACGTGAGCTGCCTTTCGATTTTAATAATTTTAGATTTTACGTTTCCGAGTTATGGGGTTTAATTCATTTAAAAAAAGGGGGGGGGGGTTTCCAGTTTTCAGACAATAACTCAAAAATGCTTTAAGCTGTTTTCATGAAACTTTGATAAATTATTTATATCTATTGAAATGACTGCATTTTGATTTATATAAATTTTAGATTTTACGTTTCTGAGTTATGGGGTTTTATTAATTAAAAAAGGGGGATTTTCCTGTTTTCAGACAATAACTCAAAAGTGCTTTGAGCAGTTTCATGAAACTTTGGTGACTGCTTAATTTCTATTAACGTGAGCCCTCTTTATTTCTTTTATAAGTTTCTGATATGACATTTAGGAGTAATTGAATGTTATTCTTTGAAAAAGTGACAGGCGTTTAATGCACTCATGGCGCAGCTGTTTATTCCTTTTCCTAGGGCATTACTTTTTCCTTTACCTAGGGCATTAATTTTTCCTTTTCCTAGGGCATTACTTTTTCCTTTACCTAGGGCATTACTTTTTCCTTTTCCTAGGGCATTACTTTTTCCTTGTCAAAGGTTATTACTTTTTCCTTTACCTAGGGCATTACTTTTTCCTTTTCCTAGAGCATTTCTTTTTCATTTACCTAGGGCATTACTTTTTCCTATTCCTAGGGCATTACTTTTTCCTTTACCTAGGGCATTACTTTTTCCTTTACCTAAAGCATTACTTTTCCTTTACCTAGGGCATTACTTTTTCTTTTACATAGGGCATTTCCTTTACCTAGGGCATTACTTTTTCCTTTACCTAGGGCATTACTTTTTCCTTTTCCTAGTGCATTACTTTTTCCTTTACCTAGGGCATTACTTTTTCCTTTTCCTAGGGCATTACTTCTTCTTTTACCTAGGGCATTTCTTTTTCCTTTACCTAGGGCATTACTTTTTCCTTTTCCTAGGGCATTACTTTTTCCTTTTCCTAGGGCATTACTTTTTTCCTTTACCTAGGGCATTACTTTTTCCTTTTCCTAGTGCATTACTTTTTCATTTACCTAGGGCATTACTTTTTCCTTTTCCTAGGGCATTACTTTTTCCTTTACCTAAGGCATTACTTTTTCCTTTACCTAAGGCATTACTTTTCCTTTACCTAGGGCATAATTTTTCTTTTACATAGGTCATTACCTTTACCTAGGGCATTACTTTTTGTCGAGCCTGCGACTTTTGTTGCAGAAAGCTTGACATAGGGATAGTGATCCGGCGGCAGCGGCGGCGTTAGCTAACTTCTTAAAAGCTTTATATTTTAGAGGGTGGAAGACCTGGATGCTTCATACTTTGTATATGGATGCCTCATGTTACGAAGTTTCCGTCAGTCACATGTCCAATGTCCTTGACCTCATTTTCATGGTTCAGTGACTACTTGAAAAAAAAGTTAAGATTTTTTGTAATGTTAAATTCTCTCTTATTATAAGTAATAGGATAACTGTATTTGGTATGTGCGTACCTTGCAAGGTCCTCATGCCCGTCAGACAGTTTTCACTTGACCTCGACCTCATTTCATGGATCAGTGAACAAGGTTAAGTTTTCGTGGTCAAGTCCATATCTCAGATACTATAAGCAATAGGTCTAATATATTCGGTGTATGGAAGGACTGTAAGGTGTACATGTCCAATTGGCAGGTGTTATCTGACCTTGACCTCATTTTCATGGTTCAGTGGTTATAGTTAAGTTTTTATACGACCGCAAAAAACTTTTTGTGGTCGTATATTGGTATGACGTTGGCGTCGTCGTCGTCCGAAGACACATTAGTTTTCGCACTCTAACTTTAGTTAAAGTGAATGGATCTCAATGAAATTTTACCATAAGGTTCAATACCACAAAAGGAAGGTGGGGATTGATTTTGGGGGTTATGGTACCAACAGTTAAGGAATTAGGGGCCAAAAAGGGGCAAAAAATAAGCATTTTTGTAACTTCCAGACAATAACTTGTGTGTAAGTGTATGGATCTCTCTGACATTGTATCACAAGGTTCCATATCACAAAGGGAAAGCTGGAATTGAGTTTGGGGGTAATTGCCCAAAAAGTTTGGGAATAAGGGGCCAAAAGGGGCCAAAAATAAGCATTTTTCTAGTTTCCAGACAATAACTTGTGTTCAAGTGAATGGATCTCTCTGAAATTGTACTGCAAGGTACCATACCACAAAGGGAAGACTGGGATTGAGTTTGGGGGTAATTCCCTCAAAATTGTAGTAATTAGGGGCCATAAAAGGGCAAAAAAACAAGCATTTTTCTAGTTTCAGGACAATAACTTGTGTGTAAGTGTATGGATCTTTATGAAATTGTACTGCAATTTTCCATATCACAAAGGGAAAGCTGGGTTTGAGTTTGGGGGTAATTGCCCTAAAAGTTTATGAATTTGGGGCCAAAAAGGGGCCAAAAAACAAGCATTTTTCTAGTTTCCAGACAATAACTTGTGTTCAAGTGTATGGATCTCCCCGAAATTGTACTGCAAGGTACCATACCACAAAGGGAAAGCTGGGATTGAGTTTGGGGGTGATGAATCATAAGGGGGTTCAAAAAATTTTGGGGGGGTATTTATTTTTCCTTTTTTTTCTTTAAAATTTTCCATTTTAAATTGGTTATTTCTGATTTATATATAAAAGTAAATAATAATGGAATGGTTTGAATAGGTAAATTAAAAATTTTTAAGTTCTTAAACCACTTTCATTCTGTGTGAGAAACCTATGCTGTGTCAAATATTTAATTACAATCCAAATTCAGTGCTGTATCAAGCTTGAATGTTGTGTCCATACTTGCCCCAACTGTTCAGGGTTCGACCTCTGCGGTCGTATCAAGCTGCGCCCCAGCGGAGCATTTTATTGTGTTTTGGTCTGTTTTTCTTATACTGTATGCAATAGGTCTACTATATTTGGTGTATGGAAGGATTGTAAGGTGTACATGTCTAGCTGGCATGTGTCATCTGACCTTGACCTCATTTTCATGGTTCAGTGGTTATAGTTGAGTTTTTGTGTTTTGGTCTGTTTTTCTTATACTGTATGCAATAGGTCTACAATATTTGGTGTATGGAATGACTGTAAGGTGTACATGTCTAGCTGGCAGGTGTCATCTGACCTTGACCTCATTTTCATGGTTGAGTGGTTATAGTTAAGTTTTTGTGTTTTGGTCTGTTTTTCTTATATTGTACTGTGGATTCATTTATTTTCGTGGGTACCAATTTTCGTGGATTGAGGAAAACTTACATATTCGTGGATATTTAAATTCGTGGTTTTGGCAAAGTCTGCATACATTCCTTTAGAAAATTTGTAATTCGATGAACATTTAACTTCGTGGTTCCCCTGTACCCACGAAATCCACGAAAATTAGTATACAACGAATATTAATGAATCCACAGTATGCAATAGGTCTACAATATTTGGTGTATGGAAGGATTGTAAGGTGTACATGTCTAGCTGGCAGGTGTCATCTGACCTTGACCTCATTTTCATGGTTCAGTGGTCAAAGTTAAGTTTTTGAGTTTTGGACTTTTTTTCTAATACTGCATGCAATAGGTCTACTATATTTGGTGTATGGAATGATTGTAAGGTGTACATGTCTAGCTGGCAGGTGTCATCTGACCTTGACCTCATTTTCATGGTTCAGTGGTCAAAGTTAAGTTTTTGAGATTTGATCTTTTTTTCTAATACTACATTTGGTGTATGGAAATATTTTATGATCTATATGTCAGTCAAGCAGGTTTTATTTGACCTTGACCTCATTTTCAAGGTTCATTGCTCAGTGTTAAGTTTTTGTGTTTTGGTCTGTTTTTCTTAAACTATAAGCAATAGGTCAACCATATTTGTTGTATGGAAGAATTGTTAGCTGTACATGCCTGCCTAGCATGGTTCATCTGACCTTGACCTCATTTTCATGGTTCATTGGTCAATGTTTAGTTTACTTGGTTAATGTTAAGTTTATGTGACAGTTGTAATAAAGCTTTATATTTGGGACTATCAACATAATATCAATGATTAGAAAAGAAGGCGAGACATTTCAGAGTGTGCACTCTTGTTCCTTTACCTAGGGTATTTCCATTTCTTTATCTAAGCAATTACTTTTTCCTTTACCTAGAAGCTAGGCCATTACTTTTTCCTTTACCTAGGGCATTACTTTTTCATCCATTTTACAAAATCGACGTAAACAAAGTGTCAAACATACAAACAACATGAACAAGTACAAATTAATCAAAAATAGTTGTTTTAGTTGAAAAATTATTAGCCTGTTACATTAAGTACTCTAAAGTAAACTAAGAAACTCAAAAACAAGAACAATTGATATCAGATAAATAAATTAGTCCTATCAATAAAATTGCTGTAGCGAATGATAAAATATGTATTTTCTCATAATCTGAATGTTAAATCAGCATGTTTATTTGAACATATATGATAAGGTATTATGACTACCTGTCTAAAGTTCACCTTGACCATATGGTATATTCACAATAGTCCATTACAGAAGTGGGCTATTTCAAACCTTGAAAATTTTCCATCAAAGCTTATTTAAAAGTGCATGCATGTATATGGTTATCTATATTTGTATGTTAAATGTTCATTTATACACCAACTTTTATATAGAAGTAGAGAAAAGAGTACAATTTTTTTTTAATTTATATGATTTTGGGAAATTTTCATTAAAAATACAATTAAAACAAATCTTAATATTTTCATTTCTTTGTGCAGTTTAGTCAGAAGTCTCACATATTGAGTTGAGTGAATAGACTTATACTACAGTTGTTTAAAGGAAAAAATACTGCAGGGAATAATAAATCTTCAACTGTGGAGTTTGAAATATTACAAACTGTCAAATCATAAGAATTGAATTCCCAAACCCAGTAATTTGTTGAAATGATTAATGTCGTAATAGGCAAACTTTTATAAAATTTGATTTCTATACTGTAATATTATTTTCATAAATTGTTTATACCTGCAAATGCCAAATGAGGAATTGATTCATTTGGCAGATTGGAAAATTTTATTGATCATAATTTTTTTGAAATGTCAAATCTTGCTGTCAAATTGTTTGTCATTATCTTTAATTTGAAGTAAGAACCACATTTAAACCATAGAAGTCATTGGCATTTATGGCATGAACCACTTGAACTTGTGTAATAACGGAATGACCTATTTGAAAAGAATATTTTTAATTTGCTTTAATGTTGAGGGGATTTTTTGAGTATTCACAACATCATGTTAATGAACACAACTGATTTTCTTAATCCGTATAGAGGATCATTGTTTTATTTTTCCATGCTAATATTACTTGTAATAAGCTTGGATTCCATGTCAACGGGATGGCAATGTGACTTTACATGTATATTTCATGCATGAGTGACATTTGATATACATTTGAAGTTTGTAATGTTCTAAAGATATTTAAGTTAAAGGATCATCTAGAAACTTGCATGTTTGTGCACCAGCTGCATCCATTTGAAATAATATCATTCTAACCAATTGTATATGCTCCAGTGACTTTGGGATAAATTTGCTTTTATCTTGGGAATTGAAAGATCATGTAAACTTGCACGCAAGAGTTCACTTTACCCAGTATGTTTAGGCTGTCATTGGTGAACTTGATTTGATTTTCATGCTCAAATGATGTTGGTTAAATAAATAAATAATGGCCCATATAGGATAGTTGTGGGGAGGGGGGATTTATGTTTTCTGGTCTGTTTGTTCATTCCATCTATGAGTCAGTCTTTCTGTCTATTCTTTGTTTAAAAAGGTTTGATTTAAGATGATAGTTTACCATGAATTTGTGGTCAAACAACTTGAAACATAGTAAACATTTTTATCATGTTTATTATGATGTAAACTTTTTAAACATATGCCAAATTAGGGTTTGACTCAGTTTTTATGGTTCACTGAACATGGAAGTATGATAGTGAAAACGGGGCATGGTGTCCTATTGAGTCTTAGACATTATTGTTTTCTATAAAATGTAGGATAATTGAAATTTGCATTCAGGTGTACTTTCAGGAGGAAGGCAACAGTATGACAAAAAATAGATTGATTTGACCTATATATCAAGCTAGCTATTCTATATATATGCTCTAGGGAGTTTGCCAGCACTTATGTAATAATAAACATTAACATATTTGTCATGCTATACTGATTATATATAGCAATTGTATTAAAATCCTACTATTTTTTTAGACCAGAGGTTAATACTATAACATCAAATCAGTTATGAAAAAGCTTTTAGATGTCATTGACCTTCATCCAACCTTTACCAAACTTGCTGCTTAGGAGTCATGACAAAATGTGAACCATTGATAACATTCACATTATTGGTTCTATTTTATACTGATCATATGGGGTTATTATGAAAGGCACAACTATGTGTAGCTATGTTATTATATAATTTTGTATTCCAGGCAAGCCCATACAATACTGGTATTGGTAATGTCCAGTATTGTTCTGGTATATGTTACAATATTTGAAGAAACTGTAGATGACTCTGATTACAACATGAAAAGGTATGTCTGTTCTGTAAGTTTGAATATTATCATGTCACATAGATATACAATACACAAGAATTGCTGCAGAATTGACTAATTTTTATACCAGTGCAAAACTGTTCCAGACTAGTATGTTGCTGTCATTTCCCCACATAGTAAACAATGACATAATGGTTTTCATACTATAACATTTGTTCTAGTAAACTTGAAATTTTCATATGGTGATTCTTTCCAGCGTGTTTGGATCAAAAATAAGATTGTGGAAGGGGTAAAATTAGTATTTCGCCTTTTCAGAAATGCAACATTTACCATGTTTACCTATTAAATTCATTAGATCTGTTTGTTCTTTGTTCATAGTATTCCTTATATCATGTATATTATAATAACAAATGTACATTTTAGAAATGCAACAAATTTTAGATGGCTCTTACAATATCCATTGGTTTAAATGAGTTAGACTCAAAAAGTTTATTTTTTTCCATGGTTTATTCATTGGCTTACTATTGAAGTTTTAGCTGATGCCAAAACAATCATTTCTTTATTTTTAATTGGATTTGGATTCTTTCATTTTCATGGAAGTACTCAGAAAATAATAAATGAATGTACTGAAGTTTCTTTCTTTTAATCTTTAATTCCAAAATCTCTAAATTACTCTAGAATACAGAAAAACGAGAATATCAGAGTAATAGTTTCTTAAGAAAAAGTAAATTAAACCTTCCAATATATATTACAGGGGAATAATAGCAATGCTGTTGACATTTTTAGCAGTAGGTGTGACACAGACTCCAGATGGTCCATTAAAAAGACCACATCCTGGTAAGTTGATTAAAGTATCTCAGCTTCTATCATTTATGAATCAAATCATTTTATATTAGACGTAGAATATTCCAACAAAAGGAAAATTCGTCATTACTGATTTAGATATATTACAAATAATATTAAGCATTCTCTGTTGTTGTATGACTACATGTTTATATCTCATGTTATGTTCCATAATAAAACTAACTAATAAACCATAACTGAAAAAATTAATGACACCATTTCAGGTGTTGTGTCATAAATATGTTGCAAAATAAAACACAAAATATGGTACTTTCTTTCTGTACATTTTGGCATCCTATAAAAATCAAAATAATTTATGAACAGCCTGATGTTGAATTTGAATTTTACAATCATGTTATAAAGTTTTATAGTATCACTTCCCTGCTCTTTCCTCTAGTGTAAACTATGCTGTTATATAATGTCAGTTCATAGGAATGTTAACTCTTTGTATGCAGTAAAAAAAGTTAAGGTTATATTTTCACCATTTCAGAGTTTTGTTTTACTTTAAGAAATGAGCTGCGTTGGATAGAAATTGACCTTATGCAAATGAATATCAATACATCTGTTAATTTATTTCGGGTTGAAAAAATCTCTATGCAAAGTCTGTAAATGTTTGAAAATTGAGTTGATATAAGAACCCTACAAAACAGACCAAAATTCATCTTTTATTTCATATTTGAATGTTCCAAAATCCACCAAAGTCTTATACATGTACATGTATATGTGCATTTGCTTAAGGTCGATTTCTACCCGACACAGCTCAAATGTAAAGACGCAGTGTGATAACAATTCACTATAAACATGATTACTGTAAAATTATACTACATCACATCATGTTGCAACTATTTGCCTTTGATTAAGGAAAGTTTATATTTAAAAGATGACGGTCATACATTTCTTTTGTCTCAAATTTCAGCATTTTGGAGGTTGATACTCTGTTTAAGTATAGCCTATGAATTGGCCTTGGTCTGGCTCTTATTTCAGGTAAGATTGTTATACGCCCGTTTACGGACGTAATATGGTATACCGTTGACCGTCCGTCCGTATGTCCGTCCATCCGTCATCAACATGTCGGACATTAACTCAAAAAAGCTTTAACCAATATGCATAAAACTTTGATGAATTGTTTATATCTATTGACGTGAGCTCCCTTTCATTTTTTATAAATTTCAGATTTACCGTTTTCTAGTTTTGGGGTTTTATTCATTTAAAAAGGGGGGATTTTCCAGTTTTCCGACAATAACTCAAGAATGCTTTCACCAACTTGCAAGAAATTTTGGTGAATTGTTTATATCTATTGACATGAGCTCCCTTTTGGATTTTTATAAATTTTAGATTTAACGTTTCCGAGTTGCAGGGTTTTATTCATAAAAAAAAGGGATTTTCCAGTTTTCGGACAATAACTAAAAAAAGCTTTCAGCAGTTCTCATGAAACTTTGGTGAATTGTTTATATCTGTTGATGTAAGCTCCCTTTAGAATTTTATAAATTTTATAGATTTTACATTTCTGAGTTATGGGGTTTTATTCATTAAAAAAGGGGGGATTTTCCAGTTTTTGGACAATAACTCAAAAATGCTTTCAGCAGTTCTCATGAAACTTTGGTGAATTATTTACAGCTTTTGATGTAATCTCCCTATTGATTTTCATAAATTTCAAATTTGACATTGAGAAGAAATTGAACTTTATTTGTTTATAGTCTTGACAACAGATTTACTAAGTATTACGCAACAGCACAGTGTATTGCACAACAGCAAGAAATCTTTAATTGAATATAAATTCAATTCATATAACCAATTTCAAGTTCTTTGACTACATTTATTCAGAAACCTATAATATGTCAAATATTTAATTACAATCCAAATTCAGACCTGTATCAAGCTTGAATATTGTGTCCATTTTTGCCCCAACTGTTCAGGGTTGGACCTCTGCGGGCGTATCCAGCTGCGCTCAGCGAAGCAGTTTATTTTTATTGTCATGCTGAAAGCAAAATAGTACACAAGTTTCCAATTTTGATTTTGTGATGTGTCATAGGATGTTGTGAAGTAAAGATATTTGCTTTGTGACATCAATTTTTTTCCAGGAAAAAAGCACCAATTTGAAGATCATGTATTATATACAGTCATATATTTTTATTGTAGTAACTCATAGTTCTGGATTTCCTTCACCAAAGAGAAACATTTTACTATTCTGCATCCTGGAGTGTCATGATAATGCACAAATGGAGAATTTGAAATTCAGAAAACATCAAGAAATAAAATGTTTATCTCAAGCATAAAACTTGAATTAAAAAGTTAACTAGAAATAAATGTTTTCTTTAGATTTTTACACTTTTGACCTTGTGTTGTTGTTTACTGGAACCTGTGTACATTCACTACAAACTTGAAAAATCTACTATTTAAAAAATATACATAAGGAATATTACTCAGGATTGACAAATATTAACAGAGTAAATTAGTTTACCATTTTAAAAACAGAGCATACCTTCCAGCTTTTCAAGATCTTGCTGGGGTTTAAGACACAAGAGGCCTATGGGTGTCTTGTCTGGATACTGTAAATCTCAATTTTATGTCTTAAAAGCTTTTGAATGATACATTTTATATGATATTATGGTTTGCTGTAAATCCTGCAGATTCCTTACCTATTACATTTTGCTCTATCTAATTTGTACTGTTATATTTGTCCAAGTGTGTTTACCAGTATTTTATATTATGTGATGTTGTTTTGATTACAGACTGTGCATGATGCCAGACATATCCTAACACACTTTGATACCAAGCTTGGCAAGGCTCTGGAACAGAAGTCTTATGGTGGAAGCTGTTTGTTGTTTGATCCAAATAATACAGACCCATTCCATAATATCTGGGTAAAGGATTTAATATCTGTTATCTATTATCTTAAAGTTCTCTTGGTAATTTGTTGTGAAAAAATGACATTACAATGATAATAGTCTCAATGAAAATCAGATAACCATTTATCTGAGGGAAATTTTTCTATTGTATTGTTGTTTTTAATCTTTGTAGTTTTTGGAAGGTCATTTGCAATAAATATTTAAACTCTTCATGTTATACAACTAAATATAGAAAATTTTTGTGCTTACTTTTTCTGGTATTCATCAGTTGAAGCATTTTTTGGGAGTAAGTCAAGAATATATTCTTTTCTTCAGGAGACAAACTTTTACAACCTTTTATAACAGCAATTTCAATGACTGTATTTTTTTTCCAGGATAAAATGGATGGATTTGTTACTACTCATTTCTTTGGATGGTGGTTAAAGGTAAATAAACTCATCATAGATACCAAGATTACAAAAATTTTGTATGTCAGATGCACATTTCGTCTCATCAGTGACACTCGATTCAAAAAATTTAAAAAGGCAACATAAGGTCAATTTGATAATGGTTGAATGATATTAAAGATTTTAACAAATTTTAAGATGAAAAATACATTTAAAAATTTTATTCTCTGAATTACTGATTCAATTCTTGATTGTGTAGAATGAACCTAAATCTGAAAAATATAAACACACTGAAGTTATTTTGAATATTTTATTCTACAAAATTTCACAGAAAATTAATCATGAAAAATGTTACTGAGTTTTAAATATGTTAATCTTATATATATTGTTTGATGCATAAATCTTTCTCCTGTTAACTGACTAAAGAGAATGTTATCTTAATGAATATATTATGCCATTCTAAAGAACATTTTTTCATCCGAAACATGGTACAGAGATATTTTCAAAATCCCCATGGCACAATAAAGGTTGTTTGATACATGTCATGAATTTCAAACTCAAACATGCCACTCCATACTCGTAAACAATATAAATTTAAGACACTAGAGCATTAAAATGTACAACCTGATTATACAATTACAGGTCACTGCACAGCCTTCAAAAATGAACAAATCCCATACTGTAAAGTAAGCTGTGAAAGGACCCGAAATGACAGAATTTGTCAATATCAAGTCCTCCTGGGAAGGAAAGTGTTGTTGACAACCCTTTATAATTTAGAAACTAACTTTTTATCAAACAGAATCAAGTTGAAATATTTGATTGATTGATTAATGCAATTAAATGAAGAACGAATCAGATTAAAAATGTTAAAATCAAACAGAAGAGAAATATTACGATTCATCAAAGGCTATGGTCAATCGTTTACTTTAAAAATTGGTAACGATTTTTTTATTATATAAATGAGTTTATGATATTTTATTTCTAGACTTTGATACTGAGAGATTGGTGGTTATGTATGGTATTAAGTATTATGTTTGAACTATTGGAGTACACGTTAGAACATCAGTTACCAAACTTCAGCGAATGTTGGTGGGATCATGTAAGTTCTATAGTTTTTTGGGTTTGTAACATTGTATGTAAACTACTGAATGTAAGATATACAGATGTATTTTGCAAATACTTGTAGTAGTTTCTGTTGCATAGATGTAATAGGATGCTTTCATTTGAACCAGTAGCTTAGAAATTAGTTTTAGAAAACAAATTTCTGTCAAGAGGCTCCTATCAACATATGGAAGAAGCAAAAAAAATGTCTGGCATATCGGTATAAAGATTAGACTTTCATGCAAATCTACTACATGTATTTATAATTTATTAAAAGCAAGTAACTTTTATAAAATATACATTGCATACAGTCAAAGATACAAGAAGGAATAATAAAAACAATTCCAATCTTCATATATCTAATCAACCCATAATTTCCATCTGCCTCATACAGCTTTAATGCATTGAATTTTAAAAGGAAATATAACACTTACAAAACATCACCATATGTTATTCTAAATGTTACAAAATCTTCTTGTAAAAACTGTTCTGTTTTAAAGAGTCAATAATTTTCTGATTTTAGTGGATTATGGATGCTTTAGTTTGTAATGGTTTGGGTATATACCTTGGCTTGAAGTCCTTAAAGTACCTATCCATGAAACATTATCACTGGAGAGGGATGTGGAATATACCAACTTACAGGTATGTGAATAAAAAAAGTATCACCTTCCTTATAGATTAATAATTTCATTTGATGTCTGTCATTAGTTTATCATCTTTCTGCAAATATTTATTTTTTCACTACTTTCTGAATCATACTAAGGTTGAATGGCTCAAAAGAGAAACTTTATCACCTCTGACATTGTCATCTTCAATGAAGTCACCAGAACCCCTACATGAACTGTATCTTCTTTATTTTTAATCAGGTGACTTCAGACCTTGGTCAACTTGATTCACTTTGATGCTATTACCATAGTATTAGATGGGTTTAGTCATTTTCTTTTTATATTTTTCAAGTTTCTGTATCATATTTATGAACATGTCGGTCTGGCAGCAGTGTTCTCCCCAGGCCCTTAAAGGACCATAGGCCCGCGATGTATAATTTTTTAGTGTGGTTTTATTGGTCTTACTGCGATGTATAATTTTTGTCCGTGGTGCTAAAATTTTCAGTTAAAAAATCGTAAATTGGTAAAGTTTTAAACAACTTCTTAAACCTTTTCTGTGCGGTATAAAATTCCAGGTGAAATTTGACCAGTTCAAACCAGATTGTTTACACCACGTAATCGATTGACCTTATGAGGTTAACCTTGTTGATTGGATTTAATCGATGTAATTAACACTTCTAACATGATTCTTTTGTGTTTTAATTAAGAGATCATAACTATGATCACAGATAACTATTTTATGGCTTCACTCACCACCCAAGTGCTGACCTGTGACAAGTCAGCAAATACTTTGAACACAAACAGTGCCGATAGTTGTACACACGCCGGAACATTTTTTGTACATATTAAATTGTTGGCTCATTACAGATAATTGACAATTACACATTTCTCAGTTCTTTATGAAGCACATAGAACAAGCTTTCCTTGTCAGAAATATAGGATTATCAAAATTCATGATGTCCGTTCTACATTAATCCATGGCCAAAATTATCTTTAATTATAACATAGTTATTGCAATCTGAGAGTAGTTATAGAAGTCTCAGTTGCATGATAGTTGGGTTTCAAACTTTAGTACCTGTCAACAAGTTATTTAAAGGGGACGGACATCTGTACATATCACATGACCCAGTTAATTCAAGTAGAAAATTCAAGTTTATTTACAATTAATTGCAATCTATTTTATAAATAAAATGCATGACTGTACCTTCAAACTGGATATCTATATAAATGAATCATGTTTTATTATTTTTAAAAGATATTGAAGTATACAAACTGTTTATTGATTTACTTCTTTTTTACCCATAATTTTCTGACTCAATGTCTACATTACACATTACCACAGTAATACAAAACAAAACACATAAAAACTACGGTAACTAGAAATATAGCTGAGCGACGCAACGTGACACAACTGATTGTACGAATCATGTCACCAAGCTGTCCACACGCGTTACACTGGTGCTATCCAAAAATCCTGGGGAGAACACTGGGCAGGTTTTATTTGACCTTGACCTCAATTTCACGGTTCATTGCTCAATGTTAAGTTTTTGTGCTTTGGTCTGTTTTCGTAAACTATAAGCAATATGTCAAGTATATATGTCTGTCTGGCAGGTGTCATCTGACCTTGACCTCATTTTCATGGTCATTGGTCAATGTTAAGTTTTCCTGGTTAAGTTTGTTTCTTAGATACTATATTTATTGCGAACCCAATGAAAGTTTTCCACAGTGCCATCTCTATCTTGACCAGGTATTTAAACTTTTGTAAGTTCACCTGTCCTATTGAATAAATACAATAGCTATTGTTCTCCATGTAGTTTTTTCACTGGGACCTTTAAATTTCTTCTAAGAGAAATCTATCACTCATTGATTAATTTACCTGAGTAAAAAAAAATCTTGTAAATAGAGGAAAATACATGCTTTATACTCAAAACTGCATGTGATGTTATATTTATTCAATATTGGTAATATATTTTCAATCGGTTGAATGTAAACAGTGATGCAAACATTAATAAAATATAAAAAAGAAGATGTGGTATGATTGCCAATGAGACAACTCTCCACAAGAGACCAAATGACACAGAAATTAACAACTATAGGTCACCGTACGGCCTCCAACAATGAGCAAAGCCCATACCGCACAGTCAGCTATAAAAGACCCTGAAATGACAATGTAAAACAATTCAAATGAGAAAACTAATGGCCTAATTTATGTACAAAAAATGAACAAAAAACAAATATGTAACACATAAACAAACGACAACCACTGATTTACAGGCTCGTGACTTGGGACAGGCACAAACATACAAAATGTGGCGGGGTTAAACATGTTAGCGTTGATTTCTGTTATATTAATAATATATTTTCATTCAGTTTAATATAAACATTGATTCAATCATAAAAAGTTGATTTCTGACAAAACTTTCAACATTGTTCCTTTTAAAAAAAAATTTGTTTGACATGAATAAAAACTTGAAAATTATGATGTTCAAATTAAGATCTTCTTAAATGTATTCTATAACTAAACAAAAAAAAAAATCAAATTTCAATAGGAACATTGATAAAACTTCTGTTAGAAATCAACTTTTTATGATTGAATCAATGTTTATATTAAACTGAATGAAAATATATTATTAATATTGAATAAATACATCATCACATGCAGTTAATGAGTATAAAAAAAGTATTTTTGTCTATATATAAGAATTTTTTTTTACTCAGGTAAATTAATCAATGAGTGATAGATTTCTCTTAGAAGAAATTTAAAGGTCCCAGTGAATAAACTACACAGAGAAAAATAGCTATTGTATTCATTCAATAGGACAGGTGAACTTACAAAAGTTTAAATACCTGGTCAAGATAGAGATGGCACTGTGGAAAACTTTCATTGGGTTCGCAATAATATGTCAACTATATTTGATCTATGAAATGATTGTAAAATGTACAGGTCTGTCTGGCAGGGTTCATCTGACCTTGGTTTGGTCTGTTTCTTCTATACTATAAGCAATAAGTCAACTATATTCAATGTATGGAATGATTGTAAGGTGTAAATGTATTTCTTGCTTGATTTATCTGACCTTGACCTCATTTTCTTGGATCATGTTTAGTTAATGTGATACTTGTAGCAGGGGCTGCTCTGGCTCTAAAAAAAGTTAGAGCCAGAAAAATTGCCAGCTGCTATATTTTGTCACTAGTTTGGAAAACTTGGAGACAACTTTAGAGGCAGCAAGAGTCTTGATTTCCTCTACCAAAATTGAAACCATGTTCAATTCAAATTTCTTATGTACTGTACATCATTTAACTTTCAGTTGTAGTAAAACTATATTTAGGGCTATCAACATAAAATCAATGGTAGTAAAGCAGGCGAGACATTTCAGCTTGTGCATTCTTGTTTTTAAATCTAACTGACCTGTTTTTGTTTTGGATTTGAGGCATGTGTCTATAGGATATATTTCTTTTTTCAGAGGAAAAATGAAGAGAGTGGCATTACAGTTTACACCATATAGTTGGACAGATTTTGATTGGAGGCCACTGTCCAGTTTAAAACGATGGCTAGCCATGTTAGCTGTTATTGCCATAGTAAGTTGAAAGTCATACTGAAATTGTACATTTAGCTTGAATATAGAATCAATTTATGCTGTAATAAGGTACTGAACATTCATTTTTTAGTGGGGGCATGGGTTTTTTCTCAGGTCAAACTGTTTTATTTTTTTTTAATTCAACCAAATTTAACATACAGGAACAAGAATTATTTTTTTAAACTCTATGTTCTATATTTATTTTTTTTTATTCTCAATGAAAAAAAAAACTATTGGTTTCCCTTTCCTTTTAAAACAAATTGTTTTTTTTTTTTTGAGAAATTTAGAATCAATTTTTTTTATTCGACCGCAAAAAATGCAAAAAAATTTGCTGTCTTATATTGGTATCACATCTTCATCGTCGTCCGAAGACAGTTGGTTTCCGGACAATAACTTTAGTATAATTAAATAGAAATCTATGAAATTTAAACACAAGGTTTATAACCACAAAAGGAAGGTTGGGATTGATTTTGGCGATTATGGTCCTAACTGTTTAGGAATTAGGGGCCAAAAAGGGGCCCAACTAAGCATTTGTCTAGTTTCCAGACAATAACTTGTGGAACAGTATATGGATCTCTCTGAAATTATACCACAAGTTTCCATACCACAAAGGGATGGTTAGGATTGGCTTTGGGGGGTTATGGCTCAAACCGTTTAGGAATTAGGGGCAAAAAAGGGGGAAAAACACGGGTTTCCTGGTTAACGGACAATTAAGACAATTTAAAAGCAGTGTAAGTGAGGTAATCCAAACACAACGTTTTGATTACCTCCCTTACACTGCTCTTAAACTATGTATAAAGAAAGAAACTCAATTTTCCAAAGAAAAAAATTGGGGGTCACAATTTATTTTGCTAATTCTTTGTATATAGTCTAAAAACAGATTTACTAAGTATTGCACAACAGCAAAGTGTATTGCACAACAGCAAGAAATCTTCAGTTGAATATGAATTCAAATCATACATTTGGATTCCAGACAATAACTTTAGTTTAAGTGTATAGATCTCTATGAAATATAACCCAAAAGGTTCAATACCACAAAAGGAAGGTTGAGATTGTTTTTTGGAGTGATGGTCCCAACTGTTTAGGAAATAGGGGTCAAAACAAGCATTTTTCTAGTTTCAGGACTTTTAATATTTTTAAGGTATTTTGATTGCTCTGAAATTGTACCAAAAGGTTCAATACCACAAGTAGAAGGTTGGGATTTAGTTTGGGGGTAATTGCCCAAACCGTTCAGGAATTAGGGGCAAAAAAGGGTCTAAAACAAGCATTTTTCTAGTTTTCAGACAATAACTTGTGTTTAAGTGTATGGATGTCTCTTAATTTGTTCCACATTTTACAAAAAGAAAATTTCTTCAAAATTTGAGGGGGGGGGGGGGGGGGGGGGGCGGTAAAAAAACATTTTTTGGGGGTTCATTTTTTTTTCCCTCAAGATTTAAGAAATCGTCAATTTTCCAAAGAAAAAAATTGGGTATTTTGCTAATTCTTTGTATATAGTCTGAAAATAGATTTACTAAGTATTGCACAACAGCACAGTGAATTGCACAACAGCAAGAAATCTTCAATTGAATATAAATTCAAATCATACAACCAATTTCAAGTTCTTTGACTACATTTATTCTGTGTCAGAAACCTATAATGTGTCAAATATTTAATTACAATCCAAATTCAGACCTGTATCAAGCTTGAATATTGTGTCCATTTTTGCCCCAACTGTTCAGGGTTCAACCTCTGCGGTCGTATCCAGCTGCGCTCAGCGAAGCAGTTTATCTCCCCCACAAAAGATGAATGGTAGGAACTTATCAATGACCATTGGCTGTATATTAGTAATTTCCTGTACACAATATTCAGAGATGTTACTTTTTATACTTTTTAGGGAATTTTGTTGTGTTTATAATAATTATTTATGATCAAGTTATTATTATGCTGCATTGATGGCTTTAAGGATGTTTGCTTATCTTGTTTTTGATTTTTTGTCAGGTATTAGGAATCCTCTGGTTTTATCCATGTGTTGCCACTAACAAATTTCTTTTCACTGCATTGCTTAAAATCAACTGGACTCTGCTTGAATTTAACGGAACGAAAAAAGTGTAGAAGTCAACCGGGGACCAGCTTTATATGCAATAGATGTTTAAACTACAAAACATAATTGGTTATTCGTTCCGTTTTGGTGTTTCATACTGATGCATGCGTTTTGTTTAAGCTTAAGATCCTTCAAACATTAATGTGATAGATATGTTAAACATTATTTTACTCAAGGATGCAACTGTTTACTTTCAAAGTTGTATTCTAGTGATATCTATTAAGTACGAATTTTCCATACACTCTCACCGTATTTATTTCCATTTTCACGTGCTATTCGAACTTCCTGTTTAAACATACACAAGTTTCTTAATTGGATTTTTTTTTGTGATTTTGACTTATTTTAACACTCGTGAAGTGTTCTAGAATCATTTACAAGCATTTTCAACTTCTCTTTGACAATGGAAAACAGGTTTTTTCCATGAAAATACCGCAAACGAATCACACACGATTTGAAATTACCCGAGTTTCATTAGACGTTTTCTATCAGTTACAAAAAGTTTTTTTACCTGAATTCTCATGGCGAGAAAGTAGGTGTGGACAATGTACCAGTGCGAACTATACAAGGCCGATTACAGTATAAAAAATCCAGAGAGAATCATTTCCAACCAAATTTTCAATGGATTATATGTCAAAAACAAGGACACAAACTTTTCATTTTTTTTCTGCTTTTTTAGTTCTGTTATATATATATGCTATCAATTTATAACAGTCTTTTATAAAAGCTTGTTATTTTGAGTAGCGGACATCCTTAATAAAAGTATAAACAATTATATAATTTTTTAAAGTTCAAAATTTGAAATGCTTTAATGAGTATGATTTATTTGACAGTTTTTATTAGCTGAATTGAACACATTCTACCTCAAGTTTGTATTATGGATTCCTCCACCTCATTGGATTAATCTACTCCGGCTAGCCTTCTTTTTATTTATGGGTGCTGCTGCTATGAGAGAAGGCTTTCAGTATTTAGATGACCCGTAAGTAGCTTTTTGCTTAACTTTATACAGAAAAGAAAAAAGTATGCTTTAGAGATAATTAATACAAACCATTGAGGAAACAAGACATAAGACATTGCTTAAAGATAGAATGTAATTACAACACTAAGTATAAACACAAAAAGTATGAAAACCAGTGATTTACTTAAGTGCTCTGGAAGGGTTTACTGTTACTTAAAGGACCATTGAAAATATGACCATTGTCAATACATATCTTTTCATCTCAGTTTTTACTACAGCTGATATACAGAAATACCTATTGATATAATGTTCTACAATGCTGATTATTGGAGAACTACTACCATCTGATATTTTTAGTGATAAGATAATTTTTGTTGAGAAGAGAAAAGAAATACAATATAAAAATATGGAGATGTGGTATGATTGCAAATGAGACAACTATCCACCAAAGTTCAAATGAAGTGGATGTAAGTAATTATAGGCAATCGTACAGCCTTCAACAATGAGAAAAATCCATACCGTATAGTGGCTATAAAAGGCCCCGACATGAAAAATATAAAACAATTCAATTGAGAAAACTTACAGCCTAATTTATATAAAAACCATTTATGAAAAAAAATATGACAGACATAAACCAACGACAACCACTGAAGTACAGGCTCCTGACTTGGGACAGGCACATATAGAATGTGGCGGGGTTAAACTAGTTTGCTGGCAATGTTTGACTAAATTAATTAAATAGTGAATGATAAGAAAAATTACGTAAATTTTTTTTTTATGAAAAAATAAATCAAACTGATAAGAAATTTGTCAGCATAATGTATAAATGATTGGTTAAGGTAAAATGCAAAATTAAGATTGGGAAAATTTTTGTCAAAATATTCACATAAATTTGTATTTTAAATTATGAGTTGATTCTTGTCTGCTTAAAGTCCAGTTGCAAATAGTTCATGCATATTCAGGACAACATATTTAGATTTGTACATAATAGTATAGTTATCTCCCCTCTCCCATTTGTATCTTATATTTTACCTGTGACCTTTTTGTACATTGTGGACAGTTTTATGTTAGTTTGTGAATTAGGAAATTTTAAAAATAACTTTTTTGGTGACTTTTCAAAAATTTGCATCCACTGTATGTGTTAATATGAATTGTTGACCAGAAGTTCTTATAGTAAATGATTTTAAAGGACTATGTTAAATTGTTATCAATCAAAATGAAACTTTCAATTTTTCTACCCCAAAAATTATCAACAATAATAAGATGCAATACTCTTTGAACTTTGTAAATTTTTAACCTGGACTTAAAATGTTTAAAACTCTCTATACTTATATTTTTATTCCATTTTACTTTGGCTTCACTTAATACTACACATTGAACTCATGAAATATTTCCAATTTTAATTTAATGTAATTCAAAATTATTTTGTTACATTTCAGAACCTGCAAGAAGTTTGGACGACAAGCTTGGATGATAATTGCCATTATCATAACAGAATTCCTGATTGTGGTCAAGTTTGACTGGGAGACAATCAGTAAGCCATTGCCACCACACATAGCATATTTCTGGATTTTAGGTCTGTTATTACTTGTTGGATGGACAATATTCAAATTTTATATATATAGAGATGTAAAAAGTGATTTACCTGAAAAGACTGAAACATCTAATGGAAATGCAGGAAATTCTGTACCAATTCAGAAATCTCAAAATAATGGAAATCGGGAGTTTAACTTACGATCAAGATCCAAAGTTACTAAATCAAATTAGGATTTTAAAATTCTGTGGCTATAAGTAGAATGTTGTGTCTTCTTGGTGTACTGTAAGGGTTGACTTTGGTCCTCATACTGTTTTCATTAATGATGATATTAAGGATTTTGCACTTAGTGATATGCTGTTTATACTATTTTAAAGGTATGAATAATGATAATTCAGGAATGAATAGAAAGTCTGATTAATTACTATAACTATAACATAAATACAGCTCTTATACAACACCGGTTAACAACCGTTGGTAATGAAATGTTAGAAAAGTTTGTAGGTGATAAAATAAGTAATATCACTATAAGAAGAATAAGTAATATCACTATAAGATTTTTTTCATTAAAGAATTTAGCTATCAGACCTGTTCATACCTCATAGACACATTAAAGGGACCAAAGACAACTCTGATGTCTCCACATGTATTTGTCATACTTGTAATTAAAAATTTATTTTTATAAACATTGCTCAATAGTGCCTAAAAATGTAAAAAGATTTACTGATATATATTTTATTCATTTTGCTAAAAAGCATATTTTTGCTGAGATATACAATTTATATTTCCCATGCCTAGGCTAGCATTAACAGTCACATGCCATGTTTGAGAGATTTTGTAAACTGGTTGCTTTTTATATTTTTTTATGGAATTTTATACATTTTGCACAAGGCTGTTGTAAATGTAGGGCATAGGGCCCAGTCTTCACGCTTAACCACAGGCCCAGCAGCCCAGGCTTGTAAAATTGCTTTCAGGCCTGTAAAAATCATCTCTACAGGCTAACAGAATCAAACTAAAATTTTTCAAAAATTGAACTCTGGGCCTGTTAGATTTAAAAGTTTATCGTGAAGACTGATAGGCTTCATATGATAACAGAGGGTCATTAAAATGAGCATTACACAGTGAATTTGTTAATGTAGATAGCTTAGTTTGTATCATTATAAATGCTTTATTTATACTTAAACTTAGAAAGTTGTGCAAACTTTTGTTCCATAGTCTGATGTAGGATAGCAGACAGATATAAAAGGCATTCTGTTTTCTTTTCATTTCATTTCTATCTGTTTAAAAATTTTTGGCTTCTTAACCAAAACATGGGTTAGATTTAGAGAAAATGCTTCTGATATTTTTACAAAAACATTGGTTGATTTTTTATTTTCAATTATTGATAATAAACACAGTAATAAGTGTATACTTGTTTCTATTCTATGTATAGTAGATCCACATCTATTCAATGGTTTTGCTATTTAAGTGTTATTACAATTGATGTATTAAAGTAGACCATTTTTGCAAGGGGTGTATATCATGTATATTAGCCAATTCATAATAAGATAAATCACAAAATGATCCCCTTCAGTAAATTTGGTCTTCAAGATAGATGTGAACCAGGGTAAACAAAAAAACATCATAATGAAACCTAACAAACCTGTTTGGTCCTAGAAATTAAAAAAATGATCTTCCCAAAAATAAACCACTACAGTATTATATAATTGTCAACTGTATGGAAAAGTTGTTGCTCATTTTAATTTGTGGTTTACAGGTAATTATTTTACCACTTGAAATCCTGTACTTGTAGTTGATTTTAATGCCCCCGCCGTAGCAGAGGGGTCATTAAGTTTTACCCTTGTCCGTCCGTATGTCCCAAAGTTGGTTTCCGTTCTCTAACTTTAGTTTGCCTGAACCAAATGTCATGAACTTTATACACAATGCTTATTACCACAAGACACAGATCTAGTTTGAATTTTGGTGGCATCACTTAAACTGTTCTAGAGTTATGCCCCTTTACAAATGGAATAAAAATTGCTGAATTTTTCGTTTCCGTTCTCTAACTTTAGTTTGCCTCAACCAAATGTTATTAAACTTATACACAATGCTTATTACCACAAAATACAGATCAAATTTGAATTTTGGTGGTGTCACTTTTACTGTTCTAGAGTTATGCCCCTTTACAAACGGAAAAATTGCTAAATTTTTGGTTTCCGTTCTCTAACTTAAGTTTGCCTCAACCAAATGTAACGAAACTTATACACAATACTTATTACCACAAAACTCAGATCAAGTACAAATTTTGGTGGTGTTACTTTTACCGTTCTTCAGTTATGTCCCTTTATAACTTTATATAATATGCAAGTGGGGGCATCATCTGTGTCCCATGGACACATTCCCCATTTATTTGTTGTTACTTCAGTGGGTTGAGATATTGGGAAGTTATTTGTTTTCAAAAATGTATTAATCATCTTTGCTAGCCAAGGGTTACGATCCAGTCCCCTCCACTCCACCCTTGGCAGATTAAGCCAACATTTGTGATTACAATGCTGCGCCATCTACTGGTATATAAAAGTCACGCCCATTCCCACTACATCATTCTTGACCAATGGCAGCACTTGAACACTCTTCAGTGTGGTAGTGTAAAAATGCTTGTGTCTAATGATTACAAATTTCATGAAGTAAGAACCGAAAATATTTGTTGACATTCCAACATTTGAATGAGAAACATACCCAGGAACTTCAACTTTTGATTAAGAACTTTGAAATTGTCACTAAATATCGACTTAGGTTTTGGGAGTAAAGACTTGTTGCACAATCAGCATGTGGCAATTGTTTATTTACATTTTCTATATGTACATGTGATCATCTTAAAGGTGCTTTTTGATTGGATTGCAGACAGTTACAACTGCGACCAATGGAAATCATTACCTCATGGATCTGCAATTCTATCTTAATCCACCAAGGGTGGAGAGGAGGGGACTTGGAACGTAACCCTTGGCTAGCAAAGAATTGTATTAATAACTGTTATAAGTATATAGTCTAATTTTATTTTCTTTAGATTTAAGATGTATTTATTGTATGTACATGTAATAAGGCCTGACCATAGTTTATTGTAAACAAACTTATATGTAATTTGAAGATAATTCAGATTTTGATAAAATTTTGTAATATTTTGTAAGTTGTTGAACTCCTTTCGAATAGCGAAAAATTGTATATGTAGCAATTACAATTCCAGAGATAGAATCAATTTAAAATTTGTGAGAAAGGTCTATAAATGTATAGATTATACATAAAAACCAGAGAAAAAATATGCATTTTTTGTCGAGCCTGCGACTTTTGTCGCAGAAAGCTCGACATAGGGATAGCGATCCGGCGGCGGCTACGGCGGCGGCGGCGGCGTTAGCTAACTTCTTAAAAGCTTTATATTTTAGAAGATGGAAGACCTGGATGCTTCATACTTTGTATATGGATGCCTCATGTTACGAAGTTTCCGTCAGTCACATGTCCAATGTCCTTGACCTCATTTTCATGGTTCAGTGACTACTTGAAAAAAAAGTTCAGATTTTTTGTAATGTTAAATTCTCTCTTATTATAAGTAATAGGATAACTATATTTGGTATGTGCGTACCTTGCAAGGTCCTCATGCCCGTCAGACAGTTTTCACTTGACCTCGACCTCATTTCATGGATCAGTGAACAAGGTTAAGTTTTCGTGGTCAAGTCCATATCTCAGATACTATAAGCAATAGGTCTAGTATATTCGGTGTATGGAAGGACTGTAAGGTGTACATGTCCAACTGGCAGGTGTCATCTGACCTTGACCTCATTTTCATGGTTCAGTGGTTATAGTTAAGTTTTTGTGTTTTGGTCTGTTTTTCTTATACTGTATGCAATAGGTCTACTATATTTGGTGTATGGAATGATTGTAAGGTGTACATGTCTAGCTGGCAGGTGTCATCTGACCTTGACCTCATTTTCATGGTTCAGTGGTCAAAGTTAAGTTTTTGAGTTTTGGTCTTTCTTTCTAATACTGCATGCAATAGGTCAGCTATATTTGATGTATGGAATGATTGTAAGGTGTACATGTCTAGCTGGCAGGTGTCATCTTACCTTGACCTCATTTTCATGGTTCAGTGGTCAAAGTTAAGTTTTTGAGTTTTGGTCTTTTTTTCTAATACTATATGCAATAGTTCAACTATATTTGGTGTATGGAAATATTTTATGATCTATATGTCAGTCACGCAGGTTTTATTTGACCTTGACCTCATTTTCAAGGTTCATTGCTCAGTGTTAAGTTTTTGTGTTTTCGTCTGTTTTTCTTAAACTATAAGCAATAGGTCAACTATATTTGTTGTATGGAAGAATTGTTAGCTGTACATGCCTGCCTAGCATGGTTCATCTGACCTTGACCTCTTTTTCATGGTTCATTGGTCAATGTTTAGTTTACTTGGTTAATGTTAAGTTTATGTGACAGTTGTAATAAAGCTTTATATTTAGGACTATCAACATAATATCAATGATTAGTAAAGAAGGCGAGACATTTCAGCGTGTGCACTCTTGTTTTAACTTTAAATTTATAATATGATTATTAGATCTCGCTCATATCTATATATTAATGACAAGTTCTCAAAATGAGGCTATTTTGGCATTATTTTCTGTACTAAATTAAAGAACTTTGAAGTACTTATGCCAATTTTAAGACAAAATTCTAAAATATAAGTACTAATGTCTGACAGACAAATGTCTTTTAAAGTTTAAACATCTGAAAAATGTTATTTGTTAGATTTTTTAATAATTTTTGATTTTCTAAATCAAGCGGCCAAATAAGTGGCCTTATTAGACCTTCTCCATTATGTTGATTTCTATACTGGTAACATTTTTACCACTTGAGGGAATAGTGTTATTTCTTATATAGTTGATTTTAACATGTTTAAAGGTTGTGATTCATTTTTTTGTTATTAAATGTGAATGTATAGCTGATATTTATAAGGTTTGTAGTTAGTTGATCGTAGAAGCGCATTGTCTTCTGAAATTTGGTTCTCATACATGTACCTTAAGCTAGTCAATATTTTGGCTTTGATGAGCTATTGTTCTCATGTGGACCCATCAATACCCATGGTTGTTTATAGTTTACTTTAAAAACAATTCACTGACCAAATTCCAATATAGATGTGCTGAAATGATAGGTAGTGTATCCAGGGTAAAGCTTATGATTTTGTCTATGCCCACAATCCAACAAAAGGTTAAGGAAGGGTTCAGTGCTCAGAAAATGTTTAACCCTGCCACATTCTTTATGTGCCTGTCCCAAGTCTGGAGCCTGTAATTCAGTGTGTGTCATCTTCCATATAGGTTTTGTTTTATTGTTTCAGCATAAATCAAGCAATTAGTCATGCTGGGGCTTTTTGAAAGCTTACCAAATAGTACGGGTTATGGTCATTGATAAAGGACATACAGCGACATATAGTTGCTAACTTCCATGTCCCTTTGTCTCTGGTGGATAGTTGTCTCATTGGCAAACATGCCACATCTTATTTTTATATGGCTACCATGAGTAACAATAAAACATTAAGGTACAATACAATCCTGATTATGATGTTAATATTGATACTGTAAACTCAATGATTATTGTGTTCATTTATTATTGCGATATTTGAAGAATGGACAAAAATGTGAGTTTAATTATTATAATTTCAGGAAAATGTGCATACAGATATACATGTCAGAAATCAGATTGCAACATCTAGTCATTGTGAAACTCACCCAGTCCCTATTATTGCATTAACAAAACCTCATAATAATTTCTGAATTTAAAAGTACATTTTTGTCCAATGAGTCAATCTGTAAGTGTTAAGTTTGCTGGTTTACTTTGTTATGTCTGAACTTGTAGTTGGTTCTTGTAGCATTGATTTATAAGGCCTAAACATATAACTATTTACCTTCCCATGCACCTGATAGTCCTAGAGGGATAAAATATCTGTAAAATTCAGAAATGGGTCTCCCTGATTTAAGATTTTTTCCTGGGAAGCTAAAGAATTATATTTTGCTGCCTAATAGGACTACTATGACATTGTTGCTTTATTTGTACTTTGGAATCTGAATGTCTTGCATTTCATATTGTAGGTTTTGGTATTTTATAAAGTTATAAGTTCAATGTAACCTTTTTGTTAGACAATTACAACCCTCCATTTCCAAGTGCTATAGATTGTCCCACCATGTAAATTGTTCTTGTATGTTATTGAAAATCCTTTAAAATTTTATAAACTGTGTTATTTGTTACTTTCATGTATGGTATGCCATCAACCCCATTGGGGTATAACTGTGCATTTATTTGAATAAAGTATAACTAATTTTTTTAGAAGTTTGATAAACAGTGTAATTGTGCCTATTAAAGTTTATCATCTTCTATCAGTGTGGTTTACAATGTAATTGCAGCAGTTTGGTGAAATGCATCTCATGTTTGGTATGTAGAAGAGTAGAAGAAAGTATCTGCATAAAGTAGTGTATGTGTAACAATGGATTTCACATAAGTGCTAAAATTTAGTGTTTGAATATCATTATCTGATTACATTGTCTAACTATGTGATTACATTGTGTGACTATGTCATTGCATAGTATGACTGATTACATTGTGTAACTATCTGATTACATTGTCTGACTATGTGATTACATTATGTGACTTTCTGATTACATTGTAGGACTGTGTTTCACCATTTGTTCCTGCATTGAGATTGAACCAGGTTCTATTGTCTATAATTGATAGACATATGTTTCATCTAACTTGATATTATGTGCAGAAATCAAGAAATGGTTAAATGTACAAAACAATAAGGCTTAAAAGACTGTGGGCATATTTTGGTTCTTGTATTTCTTTGTTTTACTTATTTTGTTGCCAATCCAATATGGGCAGCAAAAGGTAAATTCAATAAAGGCAAAGTATATATAATTCAGAGACATTTCAGATTTTGATAAAATTTTGTATGACTTTGGAAATTGTTGAACTGCATTTGAATAGTGAAAAAAATATATATGTAGTATTTGTAAATTTATGAAGTAGGGCTGTAAAAGCAGAGAAAAATATGCATTTTTTGTAACTTTAAATTGCATTTTCTCAAAAATATGTCTACAGCATTTTGGATAAAAATGATAAATTATTGCTGTAAACATTTCCATTTAATAATATTAAAAAAATATGGGGATCATCAAATTTATTCTTTTTCAGTAGACAACACTGTGACCTATACCGTAGTTGCTAACTTCTACATCATTTGATCTCTGGTGGAAAATTGTCTCATTGGCAATCATACCACATCTTCTTATTCATATATCAATTAGTCTCTATATATAGTATTAAAAAGGGTCAAAACAACAAAACAGTCTTAACATCATGACGACCTTATGCTGCATTTTTTTATTTGTATTTATACATCAAGTGTACTTAAATGATTAATGCAGCAATAAAGAATGTGGTGACCCCTAATATTTCAGATACAGTTCAACAAGTTTTAAATGCTAGGAATAACGAGAGCCAAGAGCACTATATAGTTATATTTGTAATCAGATTATTGTTAAAACAATGTAATTCTGACAAGTGTAAACTGATTTTGCTTTGGAAAAAGCATTGTTTTAGAGCTTATTTAACAGACATTTTGCTAGCATTCATTGATTAATCAACATAATTGACTAGAAAATAAAATAGAATTCTGAATGTAATATGTATTACTACTATAGCTCAGAACCTGTTTCACCAACTGTGCTAGACAATGCTGAACAATCTCTATGTGAACAACTCTTCTGTTGATGCTTGTGCAATACTTTGTATCTTGTATTTCTACAAATTCAGTTATAAAATTACCGGTATTTGCAATATTTTCTATGTTTGATGCAATTTCTTAACATACATGAGGGTCTAGAATGGGGGTCCTATATTTCTTTATTCTTTATTTTTTTTAGACTATATTTCTCTATTCTTTATATTTTAGCACCCCATTTTTCTCCGTTCTTAAATCTTATTCTGCACTTTTTGCCTATTATTCTCTTTTCTGTAAACCCCATCCATACCCTCATACATTTGAAGGTTACATAAATTAGATACAACTGATGATACATAAAAGTACATTTGATTTAAAGTTAAATTTTGAAAAGATACAGAAATTATTTCAATTTATGGCCATTTTATCAATACATGTACATTTCCTTTTTAATGTGTTCAAGTTTTTGTATTTGTTCTGTTAAACATAAGGCAATATAAATCATTAAACAAATGTCATACAACTTGTAATTTTCATTGAATGATTTGCTACACATAAATTAGATGAAAAGGTAAATAGGTATATACCATAAATTGGATGAATAAATTGATGATTTGTATAAACTGAATTATTATTACAAGTTTCATAGAGCCATGTTGATTCCTAACAATAAATGAAAGTTGACTGAAACTTTCATCCATCAATTAAATTCATCCTATGTAGATGAATATCGATTATACATCCACTCTAGGAGTGGGTCTATATTGCAATTAACTTGTTGTTTAGTCTGTCTGTTTGTCCAACAATTATTTTGTTGACACTTTTGTCAGAAACCCTTAACCGAAAGACTCCATATTTGGTCAACAGCTTGACAGTGATGAGTTGAAATGCTTGAGCCCTTTCAGAATCTGCCAGATACCTTGTTTGCAGAAACTTAAAATTTTTCATTATGTTGTATGAACTTGAAAATTTACCCCACACTTTCCTTCAGTATTACTAAACAGAATGACTTCATATTTAGAAAGCAGTTCAACAGTGATGTAAGATCTGTCCTACTGTATGGTTCAGAAACTTGGCGTGTTTTAGTTAGTGACCTTCAAAAAATGCATTCCATTCTAGCTGCCTAAGAAAGATCAATTGAATATTCTGGTCATTTAAGATCAGCAACAAGAGCACGTTTGGAGAAATGTAATGCTAAGAACATAACAGCAGAAATAAAAAAAACGCAGACTTAGATGGTTAGGCCATGAACTGAGAATGCCACAACACCGCACACCTAAAACAGCTCTATACTGGACACAACAAGGAAAAAGGAAACCAGGAAGACCTAGAATCACCTAGCAAAGAATTGTTACAGCAGAATTGAGAGCAATGGGTAACGTTACTCCTGGGGCCAAGTTCCAGTTCATGGCTAATTACAGAGAAGAGTGGAGGAAGTTTATTGCACATGGCCTTATGTCCCACTTGGGATGAAGAGGATAAGTTAGTAAGTCAAGAGTGATGAGTTGTAACTTGTGTGTGCTTTTTATACGACCGCAAAAAATTTTGCGGTCATATATTGGTATCACGTCGTCGTCGTCCGCGTCGTCTGAAGACATTTGGTTTACGGACAATAACTTTAGTAAATGTTTATAGAAATCTATGAAATTTAAACACAAGGTTTATAACCACAAAAGGAAGGTTAGGATTGATTTTGGGGGTTATGGTCCTTACAGTTTAGGAATTAGGGGCCAAAAAGGGGCCCAAATAAGCATTTTTCTAGTTTCCAGACAATAACTTGTGGAACGGTGTATGGATCTCTCTGAAATTATAGCACAAGTTTCCATACCACAAAGGGATGGTTAGGTTTAGCTTTGGGGGGTTATGGCTCAAATCATTTAGGAACTAGGGGCAAAAAAGGGGGAAAAACAAGGGTTTCCTGGTTAATGAACAAATAAAAAAAAAGTACAAATTATATGTTTGAGTTACCTCCCTTACACTGCTTTTAAATTATGTATAAAGAAATGTTGTATTGTCTTGAGGTGATTAGCTGTCAATTTATTTTTATATGACCGCAAAAAAAATTTGCGGTTGTATATTGGTATGACGTTGGCATCGTCGTCGTCTGAAGACAAATTGGTTTTCGCACTCTAACTTTAGTTTAAGTGAATGGATCTCTATGAAATTCTATCACAAGGTTCAATACCACAAAAGGAAGGTGGGGATTGATTTTGGGGGTTATGGTACCAACAGTTAAGGAATTAGGGGCCAAAAATAAGCATTTTTGTAACTTCCAGACATAACTTGTGTGTTAGTGTATGGATCTCTCTGACATTGTACCACAAGGTTCCATATCACAAAGGGAATGCTGGGATTGATTTTGGGGGTAATTGCCTCCAAATTTTAGGAATTAGGAGCCAAAAAGGTGCAAAAAACAAGCATTTTTCTAGTTTCATGACAATAACTTGTGTGTAAGTGTATGGATCTCTCTGAAATTGTACCACAAGGTTCCATATCACAAAGGGAATGCTGGGATTGATTTTGGGCGTAATTGCCTCCAAATGTTAGGAGTTGGGGCCAAAAAGGGGCAAAATACAAGCATTTTTCTAGTTTCATGACAATAACTTGTGTGTAAGTGTATGGATCTTTATGAAATTGTACTACAAGGTTCGATATCACAAAGGGAAAGCTGGAATTGAGTTTGGGGGTAATTGCCCAAAACGTTTAGGAATAAGGGGCCAAAAATAAGCATTTTTCTAGTTTCCAGACAATAACTTGTGTTCAAGTGTATGGATCTCTCTGAAATTGTACAGCAAGGTACCATACCACAAAGGGAAGGCAGGGATTGAGTTTGGGGATGGTGAATCATAAGGGGGTTCAAAAAATTGGGGTGGGGGGATTTTTTCCCCCCTTTTTTTTCTTTAAAATTTTTCCATTTTAAATTGGTTATTTCTGATTTATATATAAAAGCAAATAATAATGATATGGTTTGAATAGCTAAATTAAAATTTTTTAAGTTCTTAGACCACATTCATTCTGTGTCAGAAACCTATGCTGTGTCAAATATTTAATTACAATCCAAATTCAGTGCTGTATCAAGCTTGAATGTTGTGTCCATACTTGCCCCAACTGTTCAGAGTTCGACCTCTGCGGTCGTATCAAGCTGCGCCCCAGGGGGGGTAAAAGAAAAAAAATTTGGGGGGAGGTCAATTCTCAACAGCAGTGTATTGCACAAAAGCAAAAAAAAAAGGGGTTGGTTAATTTTTATTTTTTTTTGGGGGGGGGGGGGGCAATTTGCAACAGCATAGTGTTGCACAAAAGCCAAAATTTGAATATAAATTCAAATCATATAACCAATTCAAAGTTCTTTGACTAAAGTTATTCTGTGTCAGAAACCTATTATGTGTAAAATATTTAATTACAATCCAAATTCAGACCTGTATCAAGCGCAAATATTGTGTCCATTTTTGCCCCAACTGTTCAGGGTTCAACCTCTGCGGTCGTATCCAGCTGCACTCGGCGAAGCAATTTATTGAAATCTGTCAGAAAGCTACTTCCTGTTTTCTGATACTTTGAATTAGAGTGGACCCCTGTGAGGGTATGCTCTATAGCTCAACAACACATGCGTTCTTGTTTATTATACAATTTAATAAAAACAAAAACATAGTAACTGATATAGCCTATAACAAAAATATTTAGGGATACAATGCTTGCTTTCTTTCTAATTAAAAATAACAAGATGTGATATGAGTGCCAATGAGACAACACTTCATCAAGTCACAATGTGTAAAAAGTAAACAATTAAATAAGTACGGCCTTCAACTAATATAGCTAAATGTCTGCATCTGAAGACATTTTGGTTCGCAGACAATAACTTGAGTATAAATTCATGGTTCTCTATGAAATTTTAGCCAAAGGTTCCATACCCAATCAAGGATGGTTGGGATTGTTAAGGGGGCTATTGTCCTTGCGTTTTTTGTAATTAAGGTCCAAAAAAAAGAAGTTTTACTGGTTCATGGAAAATAAATTGGTTCACAAACAATAACTTAAGTGTAAGTGTATGGATGTGTAAAAAATTTTAGTACATGTACAAGGTTCCAAAGGTTGGCAAAGGTTTACTCAGATAAATTCAATAACCTAAAATCGCTGTGTGCATCTACTGAAATATTCAATCAAGAAGTCGCATTCCAACATATTTCTTGCACTCTCCGTTTTATTCAAACCAGTTTCTTAAGGCATGTGTAGGGTAAAAACTTCCATTGGTGAAACAGCGGAGGATTAATACAACATATTGAATAAATGTAAACATCACAGGAAGAACACACCGTTACTTAAGATATATGGATAGAAACTCTTAATTAAAAATAATTTATAACAAAGAAAATATTTTATTTTCAAAATGCTTTTGTTTCCTCCTCCAGAACAAGGACTTGTATATACAAATATACTTTATGCGGTATCATATAAATTTTTAAAGTGATACAACCAATAATACAGCTCATGCTTTGATTCAGTTTTCCAAGGAAAAGTAGGAAAGACCCCCAAATAGACATATTAAACTGACAAATCACAATATTTTCTGAAAATGCACATTATACAAAAAAAAAGACTGTATGATACTCTATCGATCGTTGTCTTGTTTTATATTTTATCGTAGTCAATAGATTATAAAACACTCTTGGGTGAAAAGTTCAAGTTTTCACTTTTATTAACATCAATGAACATATACATTGTTCAGTCATAATTTATCAAGATAAAGTGAACTGCATGAAAAGGTCAAGTGAATGATTAACTTGGCCTAAAACCAAAAAGTTACCCAGACGTGCGTTTCGTCTCAGATCAAATTCGAAGTATAAAGCATTAAAAACCAGGGGGATTCAATCATTTGCCAAATCGAAAATTTAAGTTGCGCCAATTCCGGCTATTAAAGGCAATATATCTATGGGGAATAGAAACCCTTAGTCTTTTGATTATAATGCAATATTTCATGAATAGTATTCAAATAGTAAATTTACAGAAAATGAACATGTCAACGTAACTGTATGAAAAAAAAACTTTTATCTTAATTCTGGCTTTTAATCCTATCCGTTTCCTTTTTTTTTGAGGGGGAAATGGGAGGGGGTGCAATGTTAAACTGATGTAGACAACATTCCATGTCTGAAAATGTATCACAGCGCAATGTCCGCAATGTGTACAATCAGAGGTACAATTAACAGAGAAAGAGGAATTTACACAAATATGCCTGTCCATAACGGCCTGTACAAAAATGTAAACGATCTCATTAGTGTTATGACCTTACGACGTCTGAGTGTCTAAGTGTATCAGTTGTGTAAGATAAATACACACACACATTTATGAGGTTTCTGGATAATCAAGTACATTTTACATTGGGATAGAAAGGCGGGAAAATATTACACTTCAGGTAAGACTATCGAAATTGACATTTTCTTATTCTTTTACGTTCAAGTTAACATTATATTATATAACCGAGTGTTGCAATATACCTAGACATATGAAGGGGTGTGGATCCATGATTTGATAAGGACAAGGAGTTATAGAAGACGTTATTTCGTATACGAACATTCCGACTCAAACTTGTCACATTAGCCATGTTAGCATTCATAAAAGGGATTGCAATCCGGCGGCGACGATGCGTTTTTATGAGCAGTAGGTTATCATGTACAAATGTATATGTTGTATATCTATATATACAATTCCTTGATATATATTAGTTTCATCTGATCGTGACCGTGTTTTCAGGGTTCATTGGTCAATGTGTAGTTTTCGTGTTTTAGTCGGTTTTTCAAATAATATAATTAAGCAATATGTCAAATATATTTGGGGTGTATATGTTTACCTGACAGGTAGCATCTGTCCCTGACCTCATTGGATGAAAAAATTTGTCCTGCATTTTTGTTGTTGTAAAATCTGTCATTTTTATTTTTCACTCTATTCGGTCTTGCCTTTTTTTTTAAAACATAAATTGTCATCCTGCCTGTTTTTTTGGCTCATACAGGCACAGTCTATACTAACTGTTAGTATAGACTTCCCTGGCTCATACTGCCTTTTTTTTAATCAAACTCCTGTCCTGCGTTTTTTTTAAATTTCATCCTAGACCCCCACCCCACCCCACCCCCATAACAATCAAATTGTAGCTCCGTAAGCAATAGATAAACAATTATATTTGGTTTATAGATTGGTTGTAAAGTAAACAATTTCTGTCTGGCATGGTATATCTGACCTTGACCTCAGTGTCATGGATTATTTTTTATGTGATACTTGTATTGTAAACCGTGACCCTAACCTGCCAGACTTTAAACATAAATCAATCATGGTCACTTGCGAGTCATTTCAGCGTATGACCTTCAATTTAACCCCTTAGCTAGAGTTAGATTACGCATGAATTATGCGTGTTCAGTTATTGAAAGGAAAAGAATGCCGGTCAACATTGCAAGTGAACCAAAGGTAAATCATTTGATTGACTCAGATTCGATCCACAAAAACTCATTCATATACATGTAAAAACGATGATTAATATATATGTTTTTAACCTATGATATGAAATTATAAACAGACCTAAAAAAATCCAATTGCACGAGTTCGTTATCTATGTATATCTATATGTTTATATCGATTATATGGCAGTCTTCAGAGGTCACCTCGATAGTTAATTAGATGGCGTCTAGACTTTAATACACATGAAACGAATCGATGATACATTTTATCGAGCCCATGCCTTGTAAGTCGTATATTTTAGACTTTTTATAATTTTACGTTATAGTATGTTTTTAATCAAATGTGATAATATGAGTCAAATTGGTGAACATGAATTTGACAGCCAATGACCCTTTAAATAATTCAATCATATTGTATCTAGTTTTGAATATAGATCAAATTGAAAGGACATAGGAATAAGAAGATGTGGTATGATTGCCAATGAGACAACTCCCCATCCAAGTCACAGTGTGTAAAAAGTAAACAATTATAGGTCGGAGTAAGACATTGTATACTTAAATATACAATTCCTTGATCGAAGTAAGGCCTTTAGCACGGAGCGTTGGCTCACATCGAACAGCAAGCTATTAAAGCCCCCGAAATAACGAATGTAAAACAATTCAAACAGGAAAACCAACGGTCTGGAAAAAAATACGAGAAGCGAGAAACACTTAAGAACCACATCAACAAACGACAACCACTTATTCTTTACAACAGGCTTCTGTCTTCAGTCATCACATTGGAAAAAGATACACTACAAGCAACAACATAAAAAAACAACAGTAATTTATCACATTTCTTTTGATTGCTTGTATACTGATAATTTCTGCATCCTTTGTGACTTAAATAATACGAACATACAAACCTCTAATAAAACCGAAAGACATATAAAGAGGGAAAACTACATGTACATGATAACAAATATGAGAAAAGTGTAAATTTCCTGTTTCAAGGTTAATGTTTCTAGTCTCTCCCTTCACCTGGATGTAATTACATGTATACATGACCATTTTCTAGGTCATTAATATTGGTGTGACATGCTGACGCCTCAATGACCGATATTCGTATGTTTGTCTTGTAACTAGGTCGAAACTATAAATTGCCACGGTTGTTTTTGGTTGATAACTTCAACTTTTAAATACAACCTACAGATATTTATGTTTCTCGATAGATCAACACGATTCCTACTCATTCTTTTATCATTTTGAGAAAAAGCACAACAATTTTCTAAATCCGTTATGTACACAGAAACAAGTGATGTATTACATTTGGCAATCAATACATATACAACAATTTATGTATATGCATGTTGTAGATTGAGAACGTTATAGTCTGTATCGTACAGGAAGGCTTCGTTACTGGTAAGACAAATATCATGCTAACGTGTCTATTACTGTATGAACATGATGCATGAAAGTCAATTAAAACTGCCAAATTTTTAAATTATCATCAGATATATATATATATATATATATATATATATATAAGTCTAGAGATTTGCACAACGATACTAATATAAGATGGTATTATACGAAGATGTTGTTAATAAATCGTGTTGACAAATATTTCGGCTTAACAAATAGCCTTCTTCGGTGTCAATTATTTTAACAATACTGATAATATGTATAAAAATAGCTCAATAATACAGGTAAGTTTTGGTCTATTGATTTAATCCAAAATCCTGAACATCATAATATAAAACAAAACTCAATACTCAAATATACGTGACTGTGTATATTTACAACCCAAAATGAGTGAAAAATAAAACTTAGTATTTTTTATTTATGCCGTTTGGATGATGTACATTTAGTTCCTTTATCCAAAAGCTTTCCCGAACCTGTCGCTGGGCATCACTCCAGTGAATGTTCTGTTCAATCACTAGGATCTTCATGCGGTTAAAGTCATCAAGTGTGTGACCAGACTGTCTGAAATGCTGAGAAACTGGGAGAAGTGGCTTCTTAGAGATATCACTCCTATGGCCATTGAGGCGTTTGTGGAAAGGCTGCTCCACAAACGCCTCAATGGCCATAGGAGTGATATCTCTAAGAAGCCACTTCTCCCAGTTTCTCAGCATTTCAGACAGTCTGGTCACACACTTGATGACTTTAACCGCATGAAGATCCTAGTGATTGAACAGAACATTCACTGGAGTGATGCCCAGCGACAGGTTCGGGAAAGCTTTTGGATAAAGGAACTAAATGTACATCATCCAAACGGCATAAATAAAAAATACTAAGTTTTATTTTTCACTCATTTTGGGTTGTAAATATACACAGTCACGTATATTTGAGTATTGAGTTTTGTTTTATATTATGATGTTCAGGATTTTGGATTAAATCAATAGACCAAAACTTACCTGTATTATTGAGCTATTTTTATACATATTATCAGTATTGTTAAAATAATTGACACCGAAGAAGGCTATTTGTTAAGCCGAAATATTTGTCAACACGATTTATTAACAACATCTTCGTATAATACCATCTTATATTAGTATCGTTGTGCAAATCTCTAGACTTATATAATTTTTTTCCTTATCTGCACAGTATCGTCTATTCTAGACGATCCGGTACATAGTAAATTTGCTGGTTGGTCCTTTTTATAGACTTCTATATATATATATATATATATATATATAGGAATTATCTTTATTTTTGAAATGTGTACATTGTTACATATTTCTGTATTACATGTATAGATATAAATAAAACGACTTGTTCCGAACATGTAGCATCAGAGCATGTAGCAAAATTAGTTGTGAATCTGCTAAATCGATCGAAAACAAAAGTGGTCATACTAGTTTGTCTTTTATATGTAATTTAAGTTAATAGTATTTTTTCATGTTTTTGAAGTAAACAAAAAAAAGTCCAAAAATATAAAAAAAATAATGAAAATTAACGTCCCATTGCAATTGTGCTTATTCTTGTGGCAAGCCGTTTTACTATTTATTTAACTTCGAGATATCTAATAAACTTTATAAGATATCTGCTATAGCTTATAAGATATCTTATATAGTTTTTGTCTCGCCTTGACGGAGTCAAAAAGCGAGACATAGGTATGCTGTTTCCGGCGTCGGCGTCGGCGGCGGCGTCAACAATGTATTAGTTTGTGATTAGGTCTAGTTCATGGAGAACCACTAGTGGTAGGTCAATGATATTTGGTATGCAGTTGTATTAGCATTGGCACATCCCATTACCATGGAGATTATTTGGCCCCGCCTCCTCAGTCAAGGTTTATTGACTTTGAAACTTTTCATAGTTTACATGTATTAGTTTGTGATTAGGTCAATTTATGGGGAACCACTAGTGGTAGGTCAATGAAATTTGGTATGCGGTTGTATAAGCATTGGCATATCTTATTTCCATGGAGATTATTTGGCTCCGCCCCCTTAGTCATGGTCTATAGACTTTGAAAATTTTGCTCAGTTGACATGTATTAGTTTGTGATTAGGCCAGTTCAAGGGGAACCATTAGTGGTAGGCCAATGTTAATTGGTGTTCAGTTGTATAAGCATTAGCACATCTCATTTCCATGGAGAATATTTGGCCCCGCCCCCCTCAGTCATGGTCTATTTACTTTGAAACTTTTGCTTAGTTTTCATGTATTAGTTTGTGATTAGATCAGTTTAAGATGAACTGCTAATGTTAAGTCAATGATATTTGGTATGCAAATTTATTTGCATTTGCAAGTATTGTTTCCATAGAGATTATATAGCCCACCCCTGATCATGGTTCATTGACTTTGAAACTTTTACATAGTTTACAAGTTAATGTTTGTGTTTAGGTTTGTTTAAAGGGAACGACTTATAATAAGTCAATGGTATTTGGTATGCAGTTGTATTAGCATTGGCACATCTCATTCCATGGAGATTGTTTAGCCATGTACTTTCAGTCATGGTTCATCGACTTTGAATATTTGCATAACTTACATGTTAAAGTATTGCTATTTTAATTTCAACATTTGCATTATCAAAATTACAAAAAGGCGAGACATATCTCTGTGAAAACTTAAGATATCTTATATAATTTTTAAGATATCTCATATAATTTATACGATATCTTATAAATTATATGAGGTATCTTATAAACTATATGAGATATCTTATAAATTATATAAGATATCTTATAAAATGTCTTTAAAAGATATCTTATAAATTATATGAGGTATCTTATAAACTATATGATATATCTTATAAACTATATAAGATATCTTATAAACTATATAAGATATCTTATAAACTATATAAGATATCTTATAAAATGTCTTTATAAGATATCTTATAAATTATATGAGGTATCTTATAAACGATATGAGAGATCTTATAAACTATATAAGATATCTCATAAACTATATAAGATATCTTATAAAGTATATAAGATAACTTATATAAAAAATATTTATAAGATATCTTATAAACTTTAGAAGATATCTTATAAACTTTAGAAGATATCTTATAAAATATATTTCCAAAATAGATTATATAAGATATCTTATATATTCTATGAGTCACACTTATCTTATATATTATATGAGATATCTTGAAGTTAGAATAAATAGTAAAACGGCTCGCCATATATTTTAAAATTAAACTATGCAATGAAAAGTATGGAAATTTGTCAGAATATATTAAAGATATCAACAATTGTTAAACAAGATTGCCTGGTATTTTGAACATGTTGAAGCTTTCCATCATTTAAGTATAATATGTAGGCTGCTCAGATATGAGGGGGGGGGGTTAGCCCCGAAGATATGAGACCCCTACATCTGATTTACATAGTACTGTAGTAATAAATAAATACTTTCTCTTTTCTGTTGTTTTAAAGTGAGTGATTAGGTTTGGAAGAGTGGCATTGTCTCAAATTTTCCAGATGCAGTAACACTTTCAGAAGATGTTTTGTAGCTTTATATTTGGAATGAAATCTTAATTGCGTCTATTTTGATGTCATCAAACTGATACCCTTTTCACTGTTTTTGTATGGCAATATGAACCTCTGTACTATCTTGCCTTTGTATGGTTTAATTGCCAAAATCTAAACTTTTTGCTAAAATGATTACACTTCTATGTGAATGGATAATAAGAAATCGTGACATAAAATTGTTCGATTTATAACAAATCCCTTAGCAAAAGTTAAGAGCGGTTCGAGGAAAAATCTAGTGGAACAGAAAATGTGAACCCATGCATTCCCAGCATATAAGTTCAACACTAGTTTAACACGGAACTTATTGTTCAACACTAGTTTAACACAGAACGTATTGTTCAACACTTAGTAGTTTAACACAGAACGTATTGTTCTACACTAGTTTAACACAGAATGTATTGTTCAACACTTAGTAGATCTTAGTAGTTTAACACAGAACGTATTGTTCAACTTATAAGTTCCCTGTTGATAGCTTGGGTAATGGTAAAATTAAAACAAGACACATCAAGCTGATTGAATTATGACCGAATATAAAGTTTGATAAAGGGCGAGAACATGGCTGAATTGTAATCCATGTTTTCCATTGTATTTAAACAAGACAATCGAGTGGTCACCTTTCCGAATTACTGTATTGTTTAAAAAATTACTGTATCCAGTACAAACTAGACCAACCATGTAAAATGTAAATCCATTGGATGGGAACTGGTTCATATTTGAAACAAAAAATCGAACATCGAATGTCGACAAATGTTCCAAATGTCTATCTGCTACAGTTATCTATACAGACAATTTAGTTTCCCCTGGGTTGTCTGATTAAGATGTCGGTATCGACATATCAACGTATGTCTTTGCATAGCGTTTCTTTCATTTATATTATGGACTTCTGATATTATCTATATTGACAATATCAACGTGTGTCTTTGCATATTTTTTTCTTTTATATATATTGGTGTCTCAATGTGAATACTAATAAGACAAAGGTGCTGATTTTCAACAAGGCAGGCAGACATGTAAAACAGATATTCACATTTCAGAATATAAATCTGGAATGTGTTTCAAAATACAAATACCTAGGTTTATATTTAAGCTCATCTGGTTCATTCAGTTATGCTCAAAATGAACTATACAAAAAATCCCTGAAAGCTCATTTCAAATTAAGGAAAGATCTTTTATCACTTAATCCTGATGTAAAAACAAGTATTCATGTTTTTGACCACACTGTAAAACCTATTTTATTATATGGTAGCGAAATATGGGGGATGTTTAATTCTCTTTCCTCTAAATGTAAGAAGGAAGATATATCTTTTGAAAAATTATATTCAGGTTTACCCTGTGAGAAACTTCATATAAAATTTTGTAAATTTATACTTGGGGTACACAAGAAAACAACAAATGCTGCAGTGTTATCTGAACTTGGAAGATTTCCAATATATTTTAATATTATAAAAGGAATGTTATTGTACTGGTATAGATTAGAGAATTTAGGTAATAATTTTCCTCTATTAAAAGAGGCATATACACAATCAAAGACACTACATCACATGAATATAACATCATGGTATGGTTCAATAAATGTTGTTTTTAAAATACTTGGTATTGACTATACAAATGCCATAAATGCTCCATTTTGTGATTCCTTATACAAATTTAAGAAATATATACAAACCAAGCTATCAATATTGTTTATTAGCTGTTGGAAAAAACAAATAGATAAATTTTCAGACAGTAAACTGAAAACCTACCTTTTATATAAAACAAATTTTGGTTTTGAAAAATATCTAACATTGATCAAGAATTTTGAACTTAGAAGAAGTTTTACTAAATTACGTGTATCTTCTCATAGATTACAAATAGAATTAGGTAGATATCAGGGTATTCCCCGAATTAACAGAATATGTAATAAATGTTCTTCCAATACTGTCGAAGATGAGGCTCATTTTCTATTTGATTGTAACAAATTTGAGGATGATAGAAATTGTATGTTAGCTAGTATTGCACAATATAATTCTTATTTTAATCATATGAACAGTCAAAGCAAAATTATCTGGTTATTTAGTGTAGAAAATGTTGAGTTACTTAAAATAATATGTAATTTTATATACAAACATCTTCCTTAGTGAAGATTAGTTAAAGGAAATCTATGTGTGTATATACATTTGATTGGACATAGAAAATTATATTCATCTGAATATCACAAACATACTAGCCGATTAAAAAAAAAATAATTGTTAAGATATATTATTTATTCAAATGTTCTCTTATATCCTTGAGGCATCGTCCCCTGGTATCAACTGCATTCAAGTTACCTATGATGCTTCCTTGTTTGCTTTTGATACAGGTAGGAAAGAGACATTTACACACATTTTACATGCCTATGGCCCATAAGGTATCGCCCCCTGGTGTCAGCTGCCTTTAGGAAACCATAATGCTTTCCTATTTGCTGCTGACACAGGATGAGTCATGGACATGTTTAATTTCTACTTTCTTTTTGGCTAATTATTATATATTTAATTGATCCAACTTTTTGTGTACTATACATATGTGGATATCTATTTTTCTTTTTTTCTTTTTGGGCTGCTTGTTTGTTATCTATATCAACCACACTTGCAATAAAATGCATTAGTATTAAAAAAAACAACATACTATAGATTCTTTATCTACGTATTCTTTAAGAACTTAAATAGTTCTCGTTTAACTTTTTTTTTTTATCTCATTGTTTGTATTGTATTATGAAAAAATTATTGATGTTGTAATGTTTATGCCCTTTGGGGCCCATAATTGGAAATAAAATATCTTATCTTATCTTATTGTCTATATTGTAACGTTGCTTACGAGGCTTTTGTTTATTGTATCTTGATGAGGTTTTTTTAATGACCTTGACTACCCATGAGGGTCTTGCACGGTCAGCTATTGTATACCTTCTTATCTTCTTATCAATCTTATAATAATTTGTCAATGTTCATTTCTTCTAATCATGCTAATGAACACTTTCCTGAAAAATATGTTAAACTTCATTATCCCTCGTTCATGCTACTGCAATTCTATCTTGGTGTAATTTCAGAATTTCGTCTGACGATCAAGGTCCGTAGCTTCATTTGAGACTACTTTTATGTGGATCTGTATTATTTCCCCAAACTACTATTGTGATAAAAAAATTTGTGTTAGCTATAGGTTCTATAGCCCATCAAACAAAGTCAATTCATTTAATACGTGTATTTGATTTGATTATTTCTACATCGAGAAAAGAAAGTATTCATGGTTATAACCGAGACAGCAGTACAAAATTGTATGGGCTTAGTCTTATAAAATGTGTGGGAGCCACTTCACATTTAACAATTTATTTCTTAGTAGCATGCTTTTAGATTGAATTTTATTTTAGTAGTCTTGTCTCGTTTACGATATCGTGTTTCTCCTCGTATTTTATTTTTCTACTATTTGTCTTCTTTCAGACTGCAGAGGTAAATACTATCATAGATTATGGACTGTGAAGTAAATACGAGACCGAGGAGATATGAACATTGACAATATGAGAAAAATGGTACATTTCTTTAAAAGAAATATTTTGTTTACTAAAGTAACAATAGCTGTTCTAAGGTTTTTCATACTTGCTAATATATGACCAGATTGGACCCTAACTTTGGGATTGATAATATTACATTTTTAGCTCACCCTTCCTGGCCTAAAATGGCTTGTGAGGTTTTGCCATCACAGGGTGTGTTTCGTCGTCGTTTGTCTGTCCGTTGTTAACTTTTAAGAAATATTCTTCTCTGAAACTACCTGGCCAAATTTTACCAAACTATACCTGAATGTTTCCTTGGGTATCTTGTTTAAAACTTATATCCGCGGTTTAATCCAGCAATAAGCATGGCCGCTTTTGCTAATAATAGAACATAAGGTGTAAGACGTAGTGTGTAGCTTATATTAGAGGGAAACTGACATGATTTAAAATGATCAGCAGGTAAAGGTCTATCTCCTATCAAATTTTCACATTTTGAAGTTATTGCCCCTGAAATGTCAATATTCAGAAATTTCGCAGTTTTTGGCCGGCTTATATCTAACAAACTAAAACAGATAAAGCGAAATTGAAATGATAAAAAGAGCGGCAGGATAATCTGTTTTGAAGTTAATTCCCATAAAATGTTTTTTGTTTTTTGTTATTACCTTGAAAACTATAGATAAAGTGAAATTTTAAACAGTAAAATGCCAAGAACAATAAGATCTAAGAAAAAAATCAAATGAACGAATTCACCAATTGACCTAACATCCAAGCAAGGACCAAAGCTCATGAACTCGGCAATCCGGAGAGCCGACAACCTTGCTTCGGAAGTTGCAATTCAACCCTACAGGAGTTAGTGTAAACAATATTTTATTATGAATTATACAATTACAATTTATATTCACATTCACAAAGAGGATTTAGAAACAAGCAACAAGTGCTTATGTTAATCTGTCTCCTTGTTAAATTAGATACAATATACATGAATAAATCAAAAATACATGCTCTGTTACATAATAAAAATATTGATAATGTCAGTTGAGTTACATAATGAACTGAAAAAGAAAAGAAATATGCAACTAATAAGATGAAATGCTTACAGTTATCATATTGTGTGAATAATTAGTTTGTAAACCTTTTAGATTTAATAATGAATCTTTGTACCATGAGAAATAAACTAATGTTTTCTTCATTTGAAATCATATTTGAGCCGTTTAATAGTAATTCGGTGTCCATTGGTACTGTTAATTGTAGGCTTCCAAATGATATTATCATTTCTTGTCTTATGTCCGAATATAATGGGAAAAATAATAAAAAATGTGAATTAGTTTTCAAGTCACCACAGCAACATTGAGGAGAAGAAACTTAGTTTCTTGGAAACAAGTGACAGTTTAAAGAACTACTTTTCTTTCTTAGTCGCGCATGAAGAATTTGGCCTTTTCGACATCCAGCATAAAAGTATAAAGGAACTCGATCGTTCTGATTACAAATATGTTTCTTAAATACAGAGAGAGATTCACAATTTCTTACACTTAATGGTAAATGATTCCATAATTTGATGGATGACGGAAGATAATAATCTGAATAAAGTTTTGTACGGGATTTCACCTCTAATTGATTATTACTTTGTCTGGTACTGTGGTCGTGTCGACCACTGACATATCCAGGCAATAACTTTTGCAAATATTTTGGGGTTTTATTATTGACAATTTTATGAAGCAGTATTAATTTGTGGTTACTTCTTCGATCTGAAAGTTTCTCCGATTGGGTTTCTTTATATAACATCGAAGTACTTGTGAGTTTAGTCCCCCCTGTAACTATACCAGCGGCGTCCAACTGGATGTTTTCGAGTTTATTCATTAAAGTTTGATTTCCTGAATCCCAGATAACATCAGCATATTCAATGATAGGTCTTATAAACGATATATATATATTTTTTCCAAGGTCATTCATTTAACGTGTGTTTTATTTTCCTTAAAATATTATATCTTTTGTAAGATTTCTATACAATATAATCAACATGTACATTCCATGAACCATTATTAGAAAAATAATACTCTAAATGCTTGTGCTTTTCGACTACGTGTAATTCTTCGTTATTCATTTTTAAAGGTGGGTGATAAGGTTATGCATTTTTACGGGAAATAATCATGGTTTCAGTTTTCTTAAGGTTGAATTTTACAAGCCATTACAAGCACAATAAGATCTATGAAAAAGTCAACATTGCAGAAATTGTCAATTGACCCTTATAAATTTATAGATTATAATGAAATTAAGGTTTTAACTCCCTCGTGCAAAGTTGACCTTAGATGGATTTGCTTATTGTTTTAATGTCCATATTGGTCATATAGCTCTTCAACTGTTAATTCGGTTCTTATACATCCTTGGCTTCCAAATATTCGGCTTTGAGCGTGTCTGATGAACATAAATCCAAAAAAGCGCCTCGGATACATGACATTTATTAAGTTGTGTTTTCATTATTTAGAGGTATTATTGCCCTTGAAAGATGATTGTTTACCCTTTTTTTTGTCGTCAAAAACTGTAATAGATAGAGAGAAACAGTAAATAGATAAACGATTAAGCACTGTAAGATCTACAAATAAGTCAGCCTTGCAGAAATTGACAACCGTCTCCTTATAAGAGTTATTTCCCCTTGGTGATAATTTTTACTCTATTTTTACATAAAAAGCAAAATAAGATCTACAAATAAGTCAACATGGCCAAGTTTTCTGATTCCTTATACAATATGTTGGCCTTTAAATGATGATTTAAATAAAATAATTTGCCAATTATCTCGAAAACTTAGATAGTAAATAGATAGGTCCATAATGTAAACTGTAATAAAGATCGTCAATGAAAACTGTACGAAAAACATCAAAATGGCATTTTTTTGCCAGGCGAGCGATCAGGCGCTTAGGGGCCTCTTGGGAGTCCTTTAAGCAGATGACTAGTTTTCATTATCTTTATTTTATTTTATATGATGTATTGTTTTGCCGTTAATGTACTTATTTGTCAGGTAATGGATACATATTCATTCTTCTTGAAAATCAGCCATAAATTTATATGAGTATAACTGTACGTGACCAGATACTAATAAATTATGATCATAGTTCTACAACAGCTCGGTAGATAATAGTACTCCAAGATTGATTAAGTGACTTAGTCCATACATATATAATAAAATAAGGGTATATAGTACGGTAGCCGGTTAAGGCCATTTCGCTTTTTCGCCTTTTCGACTTTCATATTCTATAGGATGAAAACGCGAAAAACGCGAAAACGCGATGTCGAAAACGCGAAGTCGAAAATGCGAAAACACGACGTGGTTTCACTTCTTCATTTCGCGTTTTCGACTTCACGTTTTCGCGTTTTCGAGTTTGTTAGTTACTGCCCCTTCTGTCAATCATTTCATATCATATATCGAAAACGCGAAGTCGAAAAACGCAAAAACGCGAAGTGGTTTCACTTCTTGATTTCGCGTTTTCGGCTTCGCGTTTTCGCGTTTTCGAGTTTGTCAGTTACTTCCCCCTTCTGTCAATCATTTCATATCTTATATCGGATTGGATAATGATTCACAATTTTAAAGTCATATGAAACTTCAAATTAAAAAAAATTGATGCATATGATTTTTATAACTAAATGGCTAGTTTTTATTATAAAACTTATGTACTTATATTTTTTTCTGAAGAAAATTCTTTAATTTGTCCAAATTTAGAAGAAATTTACTTTTTTTAATTGTTGGCTTCCCAGACAACAATTCGCCGACATGTTTTCCGTATGCAGTTACCTCAGCGTGACCTTTCTCGTAAAAATCCGGCGATCGCAATACGCAAGTCCGAAGGGGAAAACCAAATTGGCAGAGAGAGTCAACAAACGTAAACATCGCTCCGTCATCTAAATAAACTATATCTTATTGTACATGTTATACACGTGCTTACCTCAATATCCATGCTTCTTTGTTGATTGTTTACAAAGGTGACAATCGGTAAACTTCGGCTTCAAAACACGACCATTAATTAGCTGCCATATTTTCACAACACTGACCGAGTGAAATATTTTTTTGACGATTATACGGTATGGATGCGTAAAAAATGATAAAATCGTGCACAGAAGACTATGATATATGCATGCATTGGTTCAAGAATTGGATTATAATTTTTTTTCACCAGTCACTCGTTTCATATGACTTTAAGATTACCTGACTGGATTATATTATTTCCAGAGCAAACACGCGAAATGGCCTTAACCGGCCACTATAGGTGTGTGTCGAAGAACCAGTTACATCAAAAAGGCCATTTACAACTAGAGGTCATTATTATATGTTAAGCCCGAAATTGTCCCAATTCAAGTAACGTTTCTTTAATATTGCTAATTACAGAGAGTCGAATAATTTTGTTTATAGGAAAAACCTATAACATTATACATCCTTGATGGTTGTGTATTGGTATCTAGATGTATATTGTAGTAAAATTGTGTTAGTTTAGTTGCTTCTTAATTTGACGTTTACACTTCACATTCTTTTACTAAGACAATATACAAAGCCATCATAAGAATAAAACACTTGACTATGTTGAATCTTTCGAGCGACACTGATGAGTCTTTTGTAGACGATACGTGCTCCTTGCATGCGGAAGTTGGTTCTGGTATATATATGTATTTATATATTTATTGACATACACAAAATGTAAAATAACAAAAATACCGAACTCCGAGGAAAGTCCCTAATCAAATGTCAAAATCAAAAGCTCAAAAACATCAAACGAATGGATAACAACTGTAACAGTCATATTCCTGACTTGGTACAGGCATTTTCTTATGTAGAACATGGTGGATTAAGAGTTTAAAGAAAGGAATTGGACAAACTTGCATACTGATATAAAACAAATGCCTTTTATATATAACCGGTTTTAAGTGACATTTTGAACAATGGTCCTATAGTGTCTTTGCTTTGTTATTTCAGATGGACCATTTGGCCGTCCGTCAATGTAGAGAAATAATCCTGGCAAAAGAAAAAAAAAACTAAGAGCCCATGTCAGTTGCAGAACATGAAAGCTACAATATCTTTCCATTGTGAGTTCTGCAGAGATGGAGTAGACGACCGTCTACTGCAATATGTACAGTTGGAGATTAAAGACCATCCAGATTTAACATGTAAAGTAGAGGACAATCAGGTACTTATTGAAGGGTGCCTGAGAACAGATATAGAACAGGAAAGAAAGATCACTGGAGAAATTGTATGTATTCACTGGAAAGATGCTCATTCATTTCTGACTAAAAGTAAACATATGCGATCTTGTTCAACAGTCATGGTCCAAGTCGATACACCGAAGAATCATTTTATCACCATACATTGTAATTTTAGTGAGGATCGCGTTATACTACTGGATTCCTTTCAATGTACAAATGGGTTGGAGATGTATCCAGAACTAGCATTGGAGTTAGAACATCTAATGAAAGATCTGAACATTTCGCTTATACCAGTTGCCATACAGAAAGAAATCAATGACGGATTCTTTCATTCTTTCATGAATTCCTTAACTGTAGAATGGTCCAAACTTTTAACTACCCAACAAACCTATGAAATATTCTTAAATGAACTTGAGATTTTTCAGGGTTTACTGAAGTCAACCATGACAAGAGAAAAAAGTATTATAGATCATGATATGAACAGGAACGGTAATTTGAAAAGAATTGTAAAAGAACGAATTCAAAGTGGTGTAGCAAAGGGTAAGACACTAGAAGACATTAAAGATTCCATGAAGACAGTTTGCCAGAGTTTAACACGTGACATTGATGTGTACATTGAACTCAAATATGCTAAATGTGTTGCAGATAAATTTTTGATACATTTACAAAACACTTTTGAAACTCAAGGTTCTAGTTATGTCGTTCTGCGATCTGAGGTCCAAAACATTTCAGAAATCAAGGGCATAAAAGAGCCTTTCGATACTATACAAAACTACAAACAACTTCAAAAATGTGCTACACTTTTAGATTCCAAATCAAAGATACGATTTTTGAAAGGTTTTCATGACCTTTGTCATTACAATTCAACATCTGAAAAAGAAATCGAAATTGACGAAAGAAACTTTTTAAATGAATTACAAAACCATATGAAAAATATAGTTTTCAATATGTCTCAAGCATCAGAAAAACTTCCAAAATACTTAAAGAATGCATGGAAAAAATCATACAATGCAGTGTACGCGAATGATTTACTCAAGAAAATATCCAAAACAAACGATCGGTCTTTGTCAAAATTGCAGAGTTTAGCTTTAAAATTGTCGAGTTGTCATTCCGAATCATTTATTATCTCCCTTGGAAGACTTTTTGGGAAATTTTATGAAAAAATGTCTACCAGTTTCGTCACTGAAAATGGCGTAGACATTTTCAGATGTGAAGGAACTTTTGTTGATTTGAGGACAGTTAAAACCAAGATCAAAGCAAAACAAGATTTATTTGAAAAATGTTCGCAAATTGAAATACAGGCAGAATTATATTTTTGTGTAAACTGCGACGTCAAATGGCGAGGGAAAAACGTCATTATTGTCACAGATACACTAATCGTAGATGAAGATGAAGAACAAATTGAATACTCTTTGGATGTTTCTGGCAAAAACGGTCTTTCACACCTTGAAAATAAGGCACGGAACGGGACCGAACCGGACAGAGATGGATTAGCAGGCGAACCAGGAAGGCATGGTGAAAGTGGTGGAAACGTTCAAATTATTGCTAATGTTTTCAAAGATGTAGATGATATGACTGTCATTTCAAACGGTGGAGATGGTTCGGACGGCCAACATGGCGGTACAGGTGCAGATGGAATAAATGGAGTTGATGGCAAAGAGATTTCCGAAGTGGTGTTCAACAAAAGATTTCCTGACGTTGCACAATTTGATACGCTTGTATATGTTAATAATTTTAAAGCATTTAAAAAGAATAATTCGTTTACCACTGTATTTGAAGAAATCGCAACAGGTCTTTTTAATACCAATGAATATGGAATCGGTGGAAATTACTACTTCAAAGGAGTAACTGATGACAATCATGCAATAGAATATGGAGTTTGGTCGTGTGGCGCTTTTCTATCTTTGCCAGCGTTCGTTGGAGCTCCAATTAGGCAATCATATTGTTTTTGTTCTGGTCAGCCGGGGACTTCTGGTACTCCGGGAGGCAACGGAGGTGCAGGAGGAAAAGGAGGAAAAGGCGGATTTCAAGGAAAGATTGATATAAGAAATTGGAAAGGAAAACACATGTGTACAATTAAAACCTCTTGTCATCCGGGTCAGTGTGGATCTGACGGAAAAGACGGGAGAGGAGGAATTGGTGGTAAGAATGGCAAAAATGGAAACGATAGAGCACACATTTGCCCAAGTCAAGCAAGATCAACGAGAGTGTATACAGGACATCTTAGTATTGTTGCATATGAAACATCAACAAGTGATATGTCATATTGTCCAAAACGAGAAAAATATATAGATATCAAAAGAAAAGCATCTGAATATCCTACACTTCAGAGATGTAAAGATGGGGAAAAGGGACAAAGTAATAAGAGGCATAACAACCGAATGACGGAAACCTCAAGGACAAAAAAGGCTCCAATTGTATTCAAAAAGATAAAAGAAAGATTCCAGCATATGTTCTATTCGAAGGATGATAGTATTAGCCTTCAGGACAATGTTGAGGCAAATACAACAAGAATGGAAGACTTTACTTCATACACCTCTTCTCAACACATTAGAAAGGTGATCAAAGATACCAGAGAACATGACTATGAAAATCAAATTCAAAGCAAACAACTTGCACCAGTATGCATTGCTAAAAAGAGTTATCATTTCAATGACACACCGATGTCAACATTCGAAAGAAATCATCATTTAGAGAAGTTTTTAATGCAGAAAGTTGAAACAGCAGTAGCGGCAGTATTGACAGCAGTGAATAAAGAAACCAAAGAAGCATTTCCAGATAAAGAACTTTGTACAATTTTTGCAATTGTAGATCAAATGTCAATTCATAATAGTTTTGATGAAAAACATTATGAACATTTTCTAGACTTAATATATCTTATTAAAAACAAATGTATGAAACCTTTTTGCGAGGAAAATTGGACATACCTACATGTTAACTACTGGAAAGACAGAATTATGATTAATTTTAAGTTCTACGTATTAGAGAATGTTGATAGAATGGTCAGACTTTACACAAAGGAAAAAGAAAGGGAAATGTACACGAATGATCCTTATTCTAAAACAATAATGGATGATCTACAGCTTGGATTGAAAACATTGTTTAAACACTTGATTTGGAGTGTTTTGAAATCAGACGATGTGTCATATCTGAAAACCATGGAGCAGAGTGTACAGAAACAATTAGATGATCTTATGCAGGAGATAACGGATTATCGGAGAACCGTTTCTTTGTTTGGAGGAAAGGCCACAATGTGGGTTGCTCAAGGTAAATAAACAACTGAAACGTTTAATATTTCTATTGTTATACCAAAGGTTCAAACTGAAGTCATTCTTTCGAAAGTTCTACGGACGCCAGCACGAGTTAGTTCAGGGCCGTAAATTACATAGAGGCATGTAGGCAGTTACCTCCTATTGCGGGCTGACAAAAAAAATGAAGAAAAAAACACTAAAAAGAAACAAAAATGGTTAAAATCATGCATTGTTTTAATAGCACTGGTTGTTAGTTTAACCAACAAGGTGATTAATCATAATGGCAGGGTGTTTTCGATATTTAGAAGTGTTTTGTTACTTAGTTTCTCTTTTCTTTTTTTTCGTGTTACACCATAACATGCATAATGCAGTCAGTTTTTCTTTGACTTTTGAGATTTGAATGTCAATTGGTATCTTCCGCCCTTTTTTCTCGAACGCCATCATAATTTTGTTACCCGTTATGGATCATCTATGTCAAACATGACTGCGTATATTATGTTATTAAAATTTGCTGCTACAAAATTTTAGGAATTTTGTTAAATTAAGGAATATATCTCCCTCGTGCAAAGCTCTGATTCCTTGCCCGGCCCTGGCTATATTTTTTTGTTTGGTTTATAAGCTCTTCGTTATTTTTATGAGCTTTGGATTTTCAAATATTCTGGCCTGAGACATTTATTGTCGAAATGCGAATCCGGTGCAGAAAAATTGGTACCGTTTATGTTATTCCAGTTGTCGTAACCACAATACCGGCGTCTTTACCTAGATACTAACATCACCGGGTGTGACTTATCACCGAATTGTTACTTCCAGTGATTAACACAACGGATGTCTCGTGTGAAGCAGTACGGAGCATCTGAGTTAATCCGTCTTCGTATCTTCTCCTTTCTCCGACTTTTTATAACGGACAGTAATTTATTTCATTTCTAACAAAAAGAAAAAAAAATATAAGATTGTTTGAATTTTCAAAGTAAAACTCCACAGATGCATACAAGTCATAAAACAAAACTGTAAAAAATTAATCGCTTTGTTAGACTTAACAAGAGGAAATAATTTACTGTTACCTGCGTTGTATGTGAAAAAAAAAACAGAAATGATGACTACTGGACTACCCTCGTGGAGGAAACCTGCACCAGCAGTGTCATTGACCCAATGGTATAGCCCCCCTCCCCACCTAATTGGTCGTAACGCACACTAAACACCAACAGGTGATTTTATTTCATTTTGTTTTTACATGTTTTTCGGATTATAAATACAGTACCGCTCTGCCAAATTTTTGACATTTTTTTTTTTTTTTTTTTATAAAATTTCCGGACGATTAATATAGTAAAATCTGACCAAATGTTATGAATTAGGACACAATTTAATGGATCATAAAATACAGATATAGTTCGATTTTTGATGATTTTGACATTTACCATTCAAAGTTAGGTCAGGTGATTTTATTTCATTTTGTTTTTACATGTTTTTCGGATTATAATTACAGTACCGCTCTGCCAAATTTTTGACATTTTTTTTTTATAAAATTTCCGGACGATTAATATAGTGAAATCTGACCAAATCTTATGAATTTGGACACAATTTAATGGATCATAAAATACAGATATAGTTCGATTTTTTATGATTTTGACATTTACCGTTCAAAGTTATCCACTTAGTAAACTTCTAGTATTGATTTTTTTCGTTTCGAAGTGATGACAGAACTGTTTGACAACATAACCTTTGAGTTGAACAAAGAATTTATAAAACAAAGAATTTGTTTCACAGTTATTTTTAACTTTTGTTTAAGAATTTATTTAAAGAGTTTATCTTGATTTGACATTTACTGTAGAAGATTTTTTCTCCAAGTAGTGGTGGGTATCCATGACCACTAGATCAACTTATAAGTCCCCTACCGACGAAGTCGAAGGGGACTTTAGGTTTGCACTCTGTCCGTCTGTCTGTCTGTCTGTCTGTCCGTCTGTCCGTCCGTCTGTCCATCCGTCAGACCGGCAAATCAGTTTTCCGCACTTTTTTTGTCATTCTTAAAGATATTGATTTTATTTTTGGTATATATAGTTTTATCGTGACTAGTTACGGATCAAGTTCGAATTTTGTTCCGGTCTGATGATTTTGTGCAGAGTTATGGTCCTTGGACTCAAATAATCAGTTTTTTGTTATTCTTGGACATGGTTAAAATATTGATTTGATATTTGTTATAAAGTTTACACCATGACAAGTTATAGATATAGTTAGAATTTTGTTAAAGTACAATGGATTTTTAATCGGTAGGGAACTATGTATTGCCATGCTTTACTCTCAGAATGCTTGTTCTAGTTAAAATCAGTTCATTCGCCAACACCCCTGTAGGTTGAAAGTATTTTTCACCTCTTTTGGTGTCTTCCTTGAGTTGGTAGCAATTTTAATACGACCGCCAAAAAATTTTGGGGTCGTATATTGATATCATGTCGTCGTCGGCGTCGGCGTCGTCGTCGTCCGAAGACATTTGGTTTCCGGACAATAACTTAAGTTTAAGTGTATGGATCTCTATGAAATTTTACCAAAAGGTTCAATACCACTAAAGAAAGGTTGGGATTGTTTTTGGGGATGATGGTCCCAACCGTCTAGGAATTAAGGGCCAAAAAAGGGGCCCAAAACATGCATTTTTCTAGTTTTAGGACAATACCTTGTGTATAAGTAAATTGATTGCTCTGAAATTGTACCACAAGGTTCAATACCACAAGTAGAAGGTTGGGATTCATTTTGAGGGTAATTGTCCAAACCGTTCAGGAATTAGGGGCCAAAAAGGGTCTAAAACAAGCATTTTTCTAGTTTTCAGACAATAACTTGTGTTTAAGTGTATTGATGTCTCTTAAAATGTACCACATTTTACAAAAAGAAAATTTTCTGCAAATATTTTTTTTTTTTGGAAAAGGGGGTGGGGGGTTAAAAAAATAAAAATTAGGGGGGGGGGGGGGTAAAAAAAAATTTTTGTTTGGGTGGTGACAATTTTTTATCCTCAAGATTTAAGAAATTAACAAGAAAATTTCTTCAAATATTTATTTTTGGAAAAGGGGGCGGGGGGATAGGTGGTAAAAAAAATTTATTGGGGGTGTCAATTTTTTTTCTTCAAGATTTAAGAAATTGTCAATTTTCCAAAGAAAAATTGGGGGTCACAATTGCTAATTCTTTGTATACAGTCTGAAAACAGATTTACTAAGTATTGCGCAACAGCACAGTGTATTGCACAAAAGCAAGAAATCTTCAATTGAATATAAATTCAAATCATGTAACCAATTTTAAGTTCTTTGACTACATTTATTCTGTGTCAGAAACCTATAATGTGTCAAATATTTAATTACAATCCAAATTCAGACCTGTATCAAGCTTGAATATTGTGTCCATTTTTGCCTCAACTGTTCAGGGTTAGACCTCTGCGGTCGTATCCAGCTGCGCTTGGCGAAGCAGTTGATTACGCATTGCATTTATTGGATTAGTCCTTTTCAACAAAGATATCGCGGCCACAGTGCTATGTGCGCTGATTTGCACTTTTCAAATGAAAAAGAATGGAAGTAGTGCATTACTTTATGACATAACCCACTACGCACACAAGAAAAATTCTTATGAAAAGGGGGTTACTTCGACGTTAAGAAAACAATTCACTAAAATACCGCTTGGCCATCATTATTATAATAAGTTTGGACGATCCGCTATGTGCTATCATCGAAAACCGTTCGCCGTTCCTGAAGATTTACCAATCCACCAGGTTAAAAGGTTGATCCTTGTGTTTTGGTGTCAAATGTATAGGGTTTCAATTTGCCTTCATGATCGTTTGTCTAACCTGATTCTCATGTGTCAAAGACGCCATTCTTGCTTGTCGATTTTAATTGAAATGTCGGTGCACTTTTTAATTTCCCACCGCTTAAAGCCATGAAAATAGTGTTACGTTACAAGTGGTTTGACTACCTTTTGTACCAGGGTATATCGCTTTCCATTCAAAGAAGCAGCGTCATGCTAAAGTTCTTTCGTGTACTTGTTGGTTGTTACCTCCAATAAGCGTTTCCAATATGTGTAATTTGCACCCTACTTCTCGCAGCTCTTATTTGCTGTGCTTAAGTCTCTCCTACTTATGTTTTTAACTGATGAAAACGCGCACATTACATTTGCACTATAATCTAACAGCTGCGTATATGATGAATAATAAGATTTTTAATAGTATTCCATCATTCTGATTTGGCCAGGAGTTATATGACTTTGACTTTATTTTATTATCCTATCATAATGACAACTTGTGAACTCAACTCCTCTTAGACCATTTACAAGAAGGCTCTCATACTTTGTATTATTTTTTTTATCAAATATATGATTGACCATACTTTATCGTCATTTTGATTAGATAATTTTGATAATTTTAACAAGATGTTACATGACACATTGTTAACGCCACTCCTTTGAAATTGTTTACCATCATATTTAGTTGAACATATTGTATCGTCATTTTTGTTCCAACAGTTTATGGACTATTGTACCACAGTGACATCGAACTCTGCCTGGTGAAAAACAGCCAATAAACAAACTCTCGAAATATGCTTCATATTCTAATCTATTTTCTTGTAGAAAGTTTTCCTATCATTGGTATTGAAATGGATACATGCAAAGCACTAATATTACTTTTTTTTATAAATAGTTATTTTATACTGATAGGATAGTTAAGGGCTTCTTTTTCATATCAGGATTTACACGATATAAGATTTCTACGTTCAAATCAGCCATTGAACAACGGATTCAGTCACATCCGTAGTTTAACAGAATTTTCAAGGTCATGTGACTCTTTTGTTGCTGACTTTGAGACAAATCGTGACCTTCATCCCAACTGAGTAAAGTTGAAGACGAAATGTCTACAAACGCCATAATGATAGCTATGTATTTTATGGCAGATAACGACTGATTAGTTTCACTTGTAGTAGACACAATCACGTCCTCGTTTGTTACATCACTGAACATGACATATCACCAACGTTTTATTTACCATAGTGGAACAGGTATTGCTTACCCTGTCGGAGGACCTCCGTTCACTCAATTTTTCTTTGGTTTGTGTGGTTTAAACAAGATTTCTGTGTAGTATTTTATAGATTGTTTGACAGTTTCTTTGTTTTTTTACAATGATATTTTTCGTCGACTTACGTTTTATTTAACCCTTGGTTTCTTATCCTTCCTTTAATGAGGTTTTAGTGTGAAATTGTCAGAATTGTTTTCCTACGTTTAGTTGTTTTTTTTTCGCAGAAGACGTTTGCGTTTCATGAGCTGGTTGTTATGTTAAAATCATCGTATTTTCGTATTTTATATTATTATTATTCATAATCATCTCTATATATATCCGATAAAACCAATTTACATTTGACATCAAAATCAGAAATCTTAGACGAAAATACAATATACTGTGGATTCATTTATTTTCATGGATTCAATTTTCGTGGATTGAGGAAACTTTGTATTTTCATGGATAAATGATTTCGTGGTTTATAAGAAGCCTGCATACGAACCTATGGAAATTTTGTACATCGTTGAACATTCTAATTCGTAGTTCACCTTTAACCTCGAAGTCCACGAAAATTGGTATCCCACAAATAATAATGGATCCACAGTTAACTCAGTAAAAAGGTAAGAACAAAGAATAAAACAGATTATGTGTAGGTGGTAAGGGACGACTTGTTGTTAATAGATAAGTACTATTTTATTATTTCAGACGTGAAGGCTTTCAGTGAACCGGACAACGCGGAATCAGATTCCGACAGTGAAATGGAACTTGAATGTCAACTTGACTCCGATATTGAAATTGTAGGAGAGTCCAAAACTGATCCGAAATTTTCAAACGAGTCTAATCCGGAAAATAGCTTTGTAGCACCAGGAAATTGTAAAGCGTTCAATGATCTACACTTGGAGAAGGAAAATGAGAGTGACATAACTGCTTTGTTAGAATGGGCAAAATCTAACAGTACAAACAAGGTCAACGTTTGCTGTATAATAGAGAAGTTACAATATATACAATCAGAACATATTTCCCTAACTCTTAAATGTTTAAGATATCGTCTTATAAATCAATGTTGTCAAATTTCAGAAGAATTATTATTATGGCTCTTGATGAGCCTTTTCGAGAACGAGGAGTGCATAGAAAACGGAAAATACCTACGAATGATAGCTGCAACTAAACCAGAGAAATGGATTTTCGAATGGATAATTCAAGAAATGATGTTTCGGTCTGATCTCAAGGATGAATTGATATGTAGAGATTTACTTAGCAGGTTACATGGGGACAACGTATATTTTTTTCTCTGTAGATATATGTCGAAACTTGGCGAAGGAGAACTAATGACAAAACATACGATTGAAGTCATGGTGGAATCTCTGGAAACATTGAACCAAGATGTTGATGAAAGTTTGCTAGCAGTATTGGAAAACACAAATATATTTGAATGGTCCTATACAATTAAATGGAATGAAAATATAAATGCACTTCAGTCTCTTCCATTTTCCTGGCAGGATGAATCAAAGCTGTTAGATGCTGCGTATTACAGTAGTCAAATCATCAACAGAAGTGGACAGAAATTTGTTAATAAGATTTACCATTGTGTCAAGACTTATCCTGTTGAACAACATATATTTCAGTCTGCTTTGAAAAGGCTTTATACTGGCAGTTTGAGTATAGATATAAAAGACTTGTACATGGTCGAATCTTCTGAAGAAGCAAGTAGAATATTTGGAGATAATCTTATCTACCATGGTATCAGAACAAGAGATTGTATCTTGTCAATCATGAAAGCTGATTCCAATACAACATTAACGGAGGATCAAGCAAGACAAATAGGATCAATCTTAGCTAAAATAAATAAAAGAAGTTCTAAGCCATCAACTGTGCTTACCAATTCAGTGGAAGAGGATGAAGACAAAAATGAATATACAACTCGAAATATATTATCTTTTACACAGAATGATATAAAAGTTTGGTCGCAAGTATGTAAGCTGATGTTAAAGTCACGTACACTGCGATTTTCCAAAATTTTCACAGAAATAGTGGCTGTAATAGAAAGAGCAATAACATTGAAAAGAGGTTATGGCCTCCGCAACACACAAAAAATCTCTATTATTTCTTTTCTCTTTGATTTAGATGTTTCTCACAAAGGAATTCTACAACAAATGTCAACGGGAGAAGGCAAAACAATTGTAATAGTTGTTCTGTCCATACTTAAGGTACTACAAGGTGAAAAGGTCGATATTATTACAAGCTCTTCTGTACTTGCAAAGCGGGACTCAGAGATAAATAAAGACATTTTTGACTTATTTGAGATTTCTGTGTCGAACAATTGCAGTGAGGATAAACATGACCGACAAGACGCATATTTGTCATTCGTAGTATATGGCGAGATAGGGACATTTCAGCGTGATATTCTGTTGACAGAATTTTACGACGAGAACGTAATAGGGGGACGAGATCGAGAGAACGTTATTGTAGATGAGGTAGACAGTATGTTACTTGATAGAGGCGAGACAGTTTTGTATTTGTCACACGAGATTGCTGGAATTGATGCCATTGAGTTCGTGTACACATACATATGGTCATTGGTTAATTCGAAAGAAATGATTGGAACAGATGACGATCGTAAAAATGTACGTCAATGTATGCTTGATGCAATGTATGGTATAATATCTATGAAAGATATATGTAAATGTTCTCCGCTAGAAAATACAATAAATGTCCATGAAATATGGAACAGTTTGAAAAAAGAAAATATAATTGACAGTGAAGGGCGGTTACTTACACGGAGCTACGCACGTTTTGATCAACTTGAAAATAATGGTACAACTAATGGTTGCGACACAACAGGACATGTCGTCAGTATGCTGAAGGATACGGTCAGGAAGGGAATTTTGGTAGAGGTTCCGAAATTTTTAGAATCTTTCATTAATAGACATCTGGACACTTGGATAAGAAATGCATTTTATGCTAAGTATATGGAAGAAGGCAAACACTTCATTATTGATATAGACCGAACAAAAAATGACAGAGGCAAAGATGTGAACATTGTTATAATGGATATTGACACGGGAACTGAACAGTACCACATGCAATGGAATTCTGGTCTGCACCAATTTTTACAACTAAAATATAAATGTGCTATTTCTGCAGAAAGTTTAAAGGCTGTATTCATGTCAAACATTTCTTTCTTTCGCCTGTATTGTAACTTGTATGGTTTAACTGGAACACTTGGATCACAGAAAGAAAGGGACTTGCTGAAAGACATGTACAATGTCAGCTACATTACAATTCCGACATTTCAAGAACCAAAGTTTGTTGAACATGACACTTATTTGTGCGAATCGACAGATAAATGGGTAAAATTAATAACAGAGACATCTGTTTCTCTGTCAAAATCTAGACCAGTATTAGTCATTTGTGAGACCATACACTCATGTGATGAAATAGAAAAAGAATTTGAGCGAAATCGAGTTAATGCTCATGTATATAAGAACAGTTATTGCGAATTGTCTATTCTGAAAAATGAAACGGAGCTCGAAAGTGGCTGTATCATACTAGCTACAAACCTAGCCGGACGTGGAACTGATATACGAATAAGTGAGGATATCAGTGTCCTTGGAGGACTCCATGTCATTTTGACATATTTGCCATCAAATCTCCGCATAGAAGAACAAGCATTCGGAAGAGCGGCAAGAAAGGGCCAACACGGATCAGGTCAGTTGATAATTTGTGAATGTATGAAAGGACAACACAAAACCACGGAAATTCTTACCATTTCACGGATGAAAATACAACGTGACACAACAGAAAACGAAAGAATTTCCAAAATACAACAGAGGTATGAGACTTTTATTCGTGCTGAAGAAAGACTATTCAGGAAATTTCAAACGTTCTACGACAAGCTCAAACAAAAGCTTATCACGAAACAGACGGAATCAGAATTTCAAAAAGTAATATTGCAAGCATTACTTGATCGCTGGGCGTTTTGGTTAGACTCTGTCGAAACTTCCTTGGAAATTTCAGGAAACTTTTCATCAATAAAGGACAATCTCATTGAGTTTTTACAGGAAATAGATGTGTCAAGGGTCAATCATGATTCAAGTAAAATGACAATGATGCTACATAGTCCTTCACAATTGGTTAAGGCAGGAAAAGCAAAAACGTCATCGAAAGAATATAACAACGCACAGACTTTTTTTGATAACGTTATAGACTGTGACCCATCGTTTTCAGAATCTGCACTTTACTACAAAGTTCACTGCCTATTAAAAAGAGGGGATTGTACAGGTGATGATTTCAAAATTGTCCGAAATATATTTGGAATTTGCAAATATATGATTGAACAACGTATAGAAAAACTAAGAAACGCAGTGCAAATAGTAAATGTCATCAGCTCACAGTACACCAACAAAAGAGAGACATTTACGGTATCGGATGGATTTTTCCAACAGAAAGAAAATGCTATACAGATATATTACCAAATTATAGACTCAATCGATTCTATGAATGGATATGCCATAGAACCTGCTATGTTTGTAGATGCCACGTGTGGTCAGCTAAATGCAAACATGATTTTCCGAGATTTAGACACAATAGGAATTCTATCTCCTCATAAAGTTCGGGTATTTCCCCCCGAAAAAACCACTTGGCAATCTGTTACAGAGAGCTACGAGTTGTACTCCAACGAAATATATTCAAAACTAGATCAGCTTAAAGACAAAAACCGTGTAACAGCTGACGACTTTCAAGATATTCTTCCAAGTAGGGAGGAACTGTGGATATTCCTGATGGACCAGGGTGTACTGAAGGACCCAAAAGATTGTATTTTGTTGCATGATAGAGACTTTCAAAGATCTCGTCACATAGTACCTATGCGAATCGTAGATATATTAAAATCGCTTGAAGACAAAAGTGTCGATACTGATATTGATATTAAGAAGCACATTTTCTTGTACTCAGATCAAAAAGACAAAATCCTTGCAGGTGAAGCAAGTCTCATTCGTATTGACACATTTAAAGATAATTTAGGATTTGGTCAAATCCTTGAGGTGTTGAAAAGAGAAAAGATAGTATCTACTTGTTCTTTTGCACTTTTAGCACCAGGAGCAGAGAAAAAAATGTTGCATAGTAGAATACCAAAATTTGATCATGTTGGATGTAACACATTTATAGTAATGGGTGTACCCAGGGATACGTCAAAGGTTATATTCGATCAATTGGTGGCAAATGAGATTCTTTCTATTGACGGGCGATTACTTACACTAGAATTGGGAAGCATTTGGCTGTCTTCATTTAGCAATTATACAACTGAAGTTCGAAACATAGTAGCAAAATACTCAAAATACCGGATATGTACATTTCATCTTTTGACGGAGCTAGAATTACCAATAGATCTTTTTTCACGACCACACGATATACTATTCGGAGACCTAATTGAAGCTGGTGTAGTTACACCTTTTAAGGTGAAGGGTAACATTTCAGAGAAGGAAATGACTGAACAATTAAAGTTTTTATATGGTCACGAGTGTGACAAGAAAAAGGCTCAACTAATCGAAATAGTAAGTTCCAGCATTGAAAGTGGAAAATACCGTAACTTTACACGATCAGAAACGAAGGTGTTATTTGACGAAGGAATATTTTTAGATGATGGGTTAGTAATCGAACTGTATTTCAAACGTTTTTTCAGTGAGTTACCAAAAATATTAAGTTCCGAGATTTATGACCTGTGCCGAGGAGGTTCTTTTACTGCGTATGAAATAGAAAGAGACTTGATTGATAAAATGGTCTGCGTTAGAAGTGACACCAAAGATTTGAAATACCTAACAGTTGTTATTAAAAACGACTCACTGATGAAAACATTACTGAAGCAAGAATTAAGCAGCGTTGAGAATGAAATTAAATGCTTTATATCAAGTCGACTTCAAAATTATCAAAATACATCCGGATTAGTAGCGCAGCTTGAAAGATGGAGAGAGGGCCTGGCTAAATTTGACAATGTTGACACTAAACTCCGGTCGTTAGCAGATAGTTGTACAGAGGAGCAACTCATAGGTCTTTATGATGAGATTTTATCAATGACAAACAATGGTTTTGGTGATCTTATTATCTTGAAGGAACGAAAATGGACATTCAAATCAGTTTTCAAGATGTTCTGTATCCTAGCAATAGGACTGATTCAAATAGGTTTAGCACTTGCTATTGAATTCTATTCAGTTGGAACTGGAACATTCGTTGCAAACGCTTTGCTAAGTGAAGGTGTTGGAGATATCATGTTTGCAGTTGAATGTATGATTTCGGGACATTGCACAATGCAGTCATATTTACACCACAAGGCATTGAGTGTGGCAATAACAGTTGCCAGTGCTGGTATCGGGGCTTTTGCTGCAAGAGGGTCAAAATTTTCAAGATTTGGAAACAAAATAGGCGGTCAGTTTTTGCAAAAACAATCTGGAAGTGCACTTTTGAAACAAGGCGTGTCCAAAAGATTATTGGCGAAAGCTGCAGCTAAACGAATTGGAAAGAAACTTGTTGAAGTAACTTCTATGAAGTTAGTGGATAAAGGTGTAGATTTTGTTATAGAGAAAACTGTGCGAGCATCTTTGGTTGAATTCTGTGGCGAAATAACAAAGAAAACACCGAAGGTAGCATTAAAAACTATTGAAATACTGACAGAATCTCTTTCTGCTCTTGTTAGAAAAGTTGGCAAGCAAAATGCAGAACAAATTGTTGAAAAGTTTATTAACAAATGTTTAACCTTGCAGACATCTGATGTTTCAATGATTCTTAGCAAGTTTGGTCAAATTGCTAATGCATTTGGTAACGGCCTAGGTGAAGCCATGGAAAAATTGGGGCATAGCGGAGATTCCAGAATGGAATCTTTAAGTAAAATAGCCAAGATTGTCAGTGTAATTGGAAAAGGTATTAAAATTGTAAATGCTGTCCAAGAAGTCGGTATATTGAGATCTTCAATCTTGGAAAAATTTAACAATGAGATTGTTGTGAAATTACAATTCGAAGACGGAGATGTAGAGGTTGAAGACTGCGAGTCATGGGCATCAGATCAGGTAGATAATGCAATAAAAAAAGCTAATACTGAAGTCACCAAATATCTAGAAATGCAGTTAGAAGACATTGTGGTAAAGCCAATATTACAAAAAGTAGGATATAAGATAACAAGACAAATAACTAAAAGCGTAAGTAAATTGTACCGTTATGGGAAAACATGCCTTCATCAAAATGATTTCAATCGACTGAAAGCAGGACATGAGTCTGAACTGCATCAAGCACCATCTGAAGCGAAAGACGAGATTAAGTTACAGTACACTAAGAAGCTTCTAAAATTATTAAAAAATACGAGGGACCCCAGCTTATTTGCTGACATTGTGAAAGAAGGAATCCCCCTGGGTATACACTCTGTTCAAGCTGTTTCCGAGATTACAGGTGCTGTAATTAACATTGAAACGATTGGAGGTGACGCAGTAACTATGCCTCAGAAGTTTACACCTTGCGGAACATATTGTGGGGAACAGGGTTGCATTACACTACAATTTCATGTCAATCCTGAAACTGGCATTGGTCATTTTGTATCTCCAAATAGTATGGAAGGCGAATCTAAGCATTATGACTGTCTATTAGAAGCTGTTACGCAAGAGACAGGAATGGTTCTTCGAAGGGAGCACATTGCAGAAACTATAAGAACGCATCCTGAAATTCGGAGAAATATAAAACAAGGTATCCACGAACATTTCATTATCAAGGGAGGAAGCGGTGGGGTAGTTCATGATAGGAAGAAAAAAACAACCCCAATGGAAATAATTGAACAAGGAAGATTGCTACTTATCTCCAAACAGGCAAAAGAAGATAAAATATTAATTGAATTACAGAAAAGAGGACTTCCTACTACAAGACAAAATAAAAACAAGATCTGGGAAGAAATGAAAAAGGAAAATGAAAACGGAGAAATTGAAATCAGTAGGCAAATTAAAAAATCTGAGTATTTTTTTAAATCACAAAGAGACAAATCAAAGCTTTCACATAACTCTGAAAAAGCGACAGGAAACGATGAATTGTTTGAAACACGTTTGCTTGTGACAGAAATAGCCCAAAGTTGTGTAAAAAATAGTCCTAAATACGTGGAACCAACAGAGATTCAGTTTGGAGATAAGTCAGAAGATGTTGATTATCTGCAAGCTTACTATCACTGTAGATTTGACACTCGTTATGTTTTGTTCATACGGGAAGGAAAGTTGCAGGGTCATTCTGGTGCTCTATTCTTTAGGTCAAAGGATGCAGCCGTGGAGGCAAATGAAGAAGGTGTCATTATAGAAAAGTCAAACGTGGGTGGTCTGACATCGGGGTCGAAAGACTTTCACAAACAGAGAACAGATAAGGTCTGGGAAGGCAAAGAAAACCATTTGTTCAGTATACTGAACGGTATACAAAAACATGTTGAAATGTTACCAACAAAGGAACAACTAGAAAATACGGATTTGAGCAATTGTTATTCACCAATGGGCTATCACTTGGATATAGACGATCACAGGGATAAATTCATAATTGGCCTTGAACGCGAAAAATACAAATTGTGTATTGCTGCTGAACACCTCATACATAGCAATAAGAATGCATATAAAACTAGATCATTGAAACAGTTCGAAAGATCCTTTCGTGATTTGAAGAAAACGATAAATGTTGACAAAACTTACAAACAAACAATTCAAGATAAAGTTAAGAGAATAGATAGCTTCAAATCTTTTGGAAATATACTGAAAGACCCAGCGCCACATCCTCCGCCGTCTACAAACAATTAATCAATCAAACGTGTATGAGTTTCATGAACAAAATAAATAGTAGGAAAGTCATATATACTACTCAAAGAAAGTGTGATCTGAAATGAACAGCATTATTGTTTTAAAAGAATATTTGATTGATTAAAGAAGAAAAGTATGATACAAATGGGAGGGGAGCCTCCTGGACTATCGATTGTAAAATTAATTATGTTCAAAAACAAATATTATGCTTCATGCTATCATTGACCAAACTATAACCAAGGTAAAAGTTATAAACATATAGTTAGTTTATTAGTAGGATATGTACTAGATGTCTACTTATATTAATCCTTAAAATATTTTAACGCTAAACCAGTCGAAAGATAAACTTTTTACAAACATCTTTTTGCGTTATTTGTTATGGATGCGAACTGCTAAAAATATGAAATTTAAACAAGCTGCTGATAAAATGACGGTTTTTAATTCTCTTTGAATCTCTACAACGTTCCATACCTCAAACGGAAGGTTAGGATTGAATTTGGGGGTTATGGCCCAAACTATTTTGGAATGAATTAGGGGCCAGAAAGGGGTAAAAACAAGGATTTTCTGGTTTTCAGACACTTACTTAAGAATAAGTGTATGAATCTCTATGAGATTGTATCACAAGGTTCGACACCAAAAAGGAAGATTGGGATTGAATTTTGGGGTTATGGCCCTAACCGTTTAGTAAAAAGGGACCAAAAACAATACTTTTCTAATACTACATGTATTTATAAATTGCTTATTTCTTGACCAATTTCAATAACTTATAAGTCTTGAATTCTTGGGAACCCTAAATACGCTGAATCTAACCGTGTAATAAGTTTTTGGATTTTGGGCCCCGTTTTCAAATTGTTCCACATTAAGGTCCAAGGGTCAAAATTAAACTTTGTTTGATTTCAACAACAAAAAAAGGGGGGAACTAGGATTTTCTGGTTTCCGGACAATAACTTGAGTATTTGTGTATGGATTTCTATGAAATTGTACCACTAGGTTCCATACAAAAAAAGAAAGGTTGGGATTGATTTCGGAGGTCATGGCCCTAACCGTTTAGGAAAAACAAAGCGAAAATAATACTTTTCTAATACTTTGTATAAATTGCTTATTTTTTTTGACCAATTTCAATGAGGTTTAATTCAAAGTCTTGAATTTTTGGGGTTCTTTAATATATATGCTGAATCTAACCGTGTTTTTAGATTTTGGATTTTTGGCCCCTTTTTAAATTTGTCCACATTGATGTCCAAAGGTCCATAATTAAACTTTGTTTGATTTCTTTAAAATATTGAATATATGGGGTTCTTTGATATGATGATTCTAACCGTGTATTTATATTATGGATCACAGGCCCCCTTATCAAATTGGTTCACATTAAGGTCCAGAGGGTCCAAAATTAAACTTTATTTGATTTCATCAAATATCTAATTATTGGGGTTTTTTGTTATGCTGTATTGAACCACGTATTAAGTTTTGGATATTGGACCATAAAAGGTAACTGTTCAATTTCAAAATTTTAAGTTCTTAAACTACATTCATTATGTGTCAGAAACCTATGCTGTGTCAAATATTTAATCACAATCCAAGTTCAGAGCTGTATCAAGCTTGAATGATGTATCTATACTTGCCCCAACTGTTCAGAGTATCAAGCTGCGGCTTGCGGAGCATTACATTATAAGAAAACCTGCCATTACCTTTCCAGAACATGCACTTTGGTAATGAAATAAAAATTAGTTTTCCCAAATCCTACATTGAATAACACAATTTGAAAGTTTCTGTCGAGCCTGCGACTTCTGTTGTAGAAAGCTCGACATAGGGATAGGGATTCGGCGGCGGCGGCGGCGTTAGCTAACTTCTTAAAAGCTTTATATTTTAGAAGGTGGAAGACCTGGATGCTTCATACTTTGTATATAAATGCCTTATGATATGAAGTTTCCGTCTGTCATATGTCCATTGTCCCTGACCTCATTTTCATGGATCATGTTAAGTGTATGTGATATATTTAGGACTATCAACATAAAATCAATGGTAGGTAAAAAAGGTGAGACATTTCAGCGTGTGCACTCTTGATTTTTATAAATGTGTGTCTTTCCGATATCAAACTGATCAATTTCTAATACTAAGAGGCACAAGAACATTTGACTTAGTGGTTCATCCAAATTTATGTTACGGGTTTTCACATATTTTGGCCTAGAGCGTCACTGAAGAAAAATTAATTGTGGAAATGCGCATCTGGTCAGTAAAATTGGTTCCGTTACTGTTATTAAACTAGAGGCTATCAAGAGTCTCTGTCGCTCATCTACTAGGTCAATGTGCATCTTCAAAAACGGACATCCAACATTGTGGTATAGAATACATGACAAAAATCTCTTGTTTGATGATTTTGTATTGCTGGTCATTTTTTCTGTTTACAGCTTTTCTCTATCTTCTTTTTTTTTTGTGCCCAAAACACAAAAAAAAAAGGTTAAAATAAATCGCTATTTAAGGGCGATCACTCTAATAAAGTGTCTACTAATGATTTCGGCAAAACCTAATTGTAGATACTGTCTTGCTTGTCATCTTTGCTATTTATATTGTCTATCGTTCGTTGTTTTCAATCAGGAGTCGGACGATTTCCTCTATTTGACTTAATTGTAGATCTTGTCTTGCTGATCAGTTTTGCTTATTTAATTTTCTATCTATTTGGTATAATTTTAATGGCATAATGCAAAAACGCAAAAAATGGGTAAAAATCGTCATAAAAGGGCAATAACTCTAAAAAGGAGTTGTCCCACCATTTTGGTCATGTTGACTTATTTGTAGATCTTGTCTTGCTTATCATTTTTGTTTTTGAAAGTTTCTGTATATCTTTTATAATCTTCAAAATAATAGGCAATTTTTTTGAAAAATGGTAAAATTCGTCATTTGAGGGCAATAGCTCCTTTCAGAAGTCGTTTGACAGTTTTGAAATAAATAGACAATAGGTAGAGCTCAACATTCTGAACACTTTTGCCTGTATTTTCTCTTAAAGCAGTTTTAGAGATAATAGGCAAAACTTGCATTTTACCGCTATGTTCTATTTTTACCAATGTCTGCCATCTTGGTTGGCAGGCGGGGTCATCAGACACATTTTTCAAACAAGATACCCTAATGATGATTGTGGCCAAGTTAGGTTAAATTTGGCTCAGTAGTTTCATAGGAGAACATATGGTAAAAGTTAACAGACGTAAACAACAAATTCCAAGTGATGAGAAGAGCTCATTTGCCCCTGTGAGCCAGGTGAGCTAAAAATGAGAATCATTTGAAGGTCCTCAAATCATCAATCCTTAATGTTAAAAAACATTCAGCCTTGCAGTTTCAGAGATGTTTTTTAAATTGGTCAATCAGAATCGAAGATTGCTTCTTGCAGCCATGTTTGTAAAGGAACTTCAATATATCATTCCAACAAAATTTGGTTAAAATTGGCCTCATGGATTCAGCCAAGAAGGGTTTGAATGGGAACTATGTGCCACTAATGCTGCCGTGTTTGCAATAATGAGAATCATTTGTAGAGTCTTCCTTTGTCAACCCACTAAAATGTTTCAAAACATAGATCAATGCAGTTTTAGCATATAATTTTAAAATTGGAAACTCAGAATCAAAGATTGTCTTTGGTGGCCATGTTTTTTCATCAGATAGTAAGGAAATGAGGAATTCTGATAAAGGACCTTCAATTTACTGGTATTATTCCTGCCAAGTTTTTATTTTTAAATTGACAAGGTTGTTTCAATGAGGATAATGAAAATATAATTTGTCTATAAACAGACAAACAAAGGATGGACACAAAGGGAAGAAAATAGACCATATTGCCCTATGAGACAAGTGATGTAAAAATGACCTGATTAAAGTTGGTGTGGTCCGACCAAATAAGTTTAAAAAAGGCTACAACAATTGATTAGCATGAGATCATTTAATTTATTTCTATCAAAAATATTTCTTTCATCATCCTCATATGACAAACCATATATCTACACATAACTCTCTATTAAACAAACATAAAGACTATTCAAATTTATATAATTAGGAGAAAGACACAAGATTTCCCAGTGTAGATTTAAAACATAAACACATTGGATTGTTCTATCTAATATTAAAAAAACTTATCTTAAATAAGTCTAAATCTTATATTAATCCTTATATTTTTCTATGAAGAAGGGTGATGAAAAGTGACTACACTCTCTGTTACTATTAAAAAATAAATAACACAAAATACTAGCATGTTCTCTTTTCAAAGAAAATTTGTTAAACAATTGACAATTTATAGCATTTCTTGCATTAATACGTGTATTTTATGTTTTGTTATCGATATGCAATATATGCTTCATTATCAGTTTCATCATACTAGTGACAATAGCAATAGTCTACATACACAGCCATGTTCAGTTCTTCTAAAGGACATCTTGGATTTTGATGAATCTGAACAACACTGTCTCATTTCGAAATGTGAAGGCAATCGCTGCAAAACCTGTGGAATCTTAATAACAGATGCTCAATTCACTAGCAATTTAACTAAAAAGTCTTATTTTACCATGCAGAAGCTACGATGATCTGAATTGTAAATCTATAAATGTCGTCTACGGATTAGAGTGTAACCTTTGCGGAATGGTATACGTCGATGAAACGAAAGGAAGGCTAAACAAACGTATGTGCGGCCATAGATCAGACATCAACCACAATGCAAGCGACATTCTTTACCAGCATTTTAACCAGCCTGATCATTCAATCCTTTCTATGCAAGTACGCATCATCGAAAAAATATACCATAGGACTAAAAATCTTCATCTTGCAACGCCTCTCCGTAGACAAACAGAAGACTACTGGATTCGGCAATTGGGAACTACGACACCATATGGTTGCAATGACAAAATTGATGGTATAGGTATTCTATTTAGTCCTTCCTGTAGCTCGGTGAATGTGATGAATATTTTCAACCCAACTCCTCGACGTAGACGCAGTCTTGGTCATCGTCATTATACATCACCAACTCTCCGTGATTTCTCTATTAATGACTTGCTGCCATTTATACAAAAGCCGTTATGTATCCATCACATTCGCACGAAGCTTTATCCATTACCCCTTTCAAAATTTCATTCTCTGTTCAATTTATGTTTGGAAACCACTGTTACAAATCCTCATTCAAACCAATACAAACTTACAGCTATCATTTCGGATATTGCAAGTCACAGACTTTTCAAACCAGTTCGCATTGGAAAAGATGAAAAAGAGAAAAGATCCTTTCTTAAACTTTCCTGTTCCAACAAAGGTCTCGGTGCCGTCAACTTGGGCAATATCCTTCATCATAAATTAGTTCAATCGAAAATATCTCCCTATTTTAAAGA